ACAGGAAACAAAAGACAAACGGCCGCGCTCCCTCTATCGGTCAACATTGGCATAAAATATAAACGATTTAAATATAGAATAACAAATCAACAACAAATGAAAAGGAATAAATGTATTGAGATAATTTTGTGTGAAAGAATATTAAATAATTTCTCAAGATAAAATATTAATTATATCATTGAAATTATGGAATTATTTATGATGGGAAATATAAGATGATGGTCCTCTCTCTCTCTCTTAAGGTAAACAAAAGACCTTGCGTGGTGGCAGTGGGGAGGGTGGGGGGAGGGGGAGCAATTGCCACCCTCCCTTTCTCCCTCACTTCCTCCCTACCTCCTACCCTCCATCTCCCTCCCTACCTCCTTCCCTCCATCCTACCCCCATCCCATCCTTCCTCTTTCCTCCCACCCTCCTACCCCCTCCTCACCTTCCTTCTCCCTTTCCATTCTCCCACCTACCTACCATCCACCTTCAACCCCTCCTCCTCCCTCACCTCCCATCCTCCTCACCACCACCTCCCTCCACCTCCTCCTCACCACCCTCCTCCCTCCCTCCCCTCCCCTCACCACCTCCTCACCCCTCCCCTCCTCACCTCCCTCCCCACCACCTCCCACCTCCTCACCACCCTCACCACCTCCCTCACCTCCCTCCCATCCCTCCTCACCTCCCATCCTCCCCACCTCCTCCTCACCTCCCATCCTCCCACCCTCCCTCACCACCTCCTCCTCACCACCCTCCTCCTCCTCACCTCCCTCCCTCACCCCTCTTCACCACCTCACCACCTCCCTCACCACCCTCACCACCTCACCACCTCCCTCTTCCCAGTTACTTTACGCCCCGTGGCCCTGAAAACGACACAACAAAACGCTGAGATCATTCTACTTTCATCCTTGGCAGCGCTCCTAACTAACTACCACTACCGCTCGCTTGTCTGTACAGGTGACGACGGCGAGGAGAATGGTGATGCTTTTGAGAGAGAGAGAGAGAGAGAGAGAGAGAGAGAGGTGTCTGTGTCTGTATGTGTGTGTGAGAAAGTGAGAGAGTGACGTATATGTGAGTGTGTGTGTGTCTGTCTGTCTGTCTGTCTCCCTTTCTCGTATATATAAACTAACAGACAAACACACGTAATCCAATATTAAATATATCCCATTTTCTTTACGTTGAGTATAATGAACACCCCCACCCCGGAAAAAAAGTATATTGTTCAGTTTATCCACATAAGAACTTTTTACAACAGCATCCCTCAATGATAGTGATTTAAATTAAGGTTAAGAATATTGGAATAAATCATCTTTAAAATCGTACGTAAAAAAAAAATAGTGACAATATGTAGGATCTTATAAAATTGGTACTAACTTTAAAAAAAAATCGAGCGTAAAAAAAAAATATGTTTAGGATTGACTGACAGACAGAGTGTAGGGTAAAGAATATTGGAACCACAGCTTTTAAACTCGTGGGTAAAAATATAGTGTTTGGAAACTATGACAACAACAACAAAGGAAAGAAACATAGAGGAACAGTAAAAGGAAAAACAAAGGTAACGTAAAAGTTCAGGGTTCCCACACACACGACACGAACAGAGGGAACACAAGAGAATAGATGATGATGATGTTGATGAAGGGAGGAAGGGAGGGAGGGATAATAAAGGTTAGGTTCTGGGTATTGTCTTGTGGGTGTACCGTACGTTAGGGAGATGGTGAGTATGGTTTGTTGTTGTTGTTGTTGGGGTTGTTGTTGTTGTTAGATTGTTGTTGTTGTTGTTAGATTGTTGTTGTTGTTGTTAGATTGTTGTTGTTGGGGTTGTTGTTGTTGTTGTTGTTATTTTTATTGTTATTATTATTATTATTGTTGTTGTTATTGTTATTCTTATTTTTATTATTATTATTAGTATTAGTATTATTATCATCGTTATTATTATTATAATTTTACTTTCAACTTAAATCACAGAGGCAAATTAATTAACAATATTTACGACTTTATCATCATGTAAATAAAACAAACTTAAAACGATAATAAATTTAACCTAAAGGAACATCTATATATCGTATTAATATTTATATCTAAAGGAACGGTTTATATGTGAGTTTTTGTTATGTAAATGACGTAATGGTGAAGAATTTGCTTTGTGTGGGTGGGTGAGGTGGGTTGGTTGGTTGGTGTGGGTGGGTTGGTATGGGTAGGTGGGTGGGTTGGTGTGGGTAGATGAGTGGTGGGTGGGCTGGGTGAGTGGAAAGGTGGGCGTTTTGGTGTCGTGGGCGGGTGGGCGTTGGTGTACGGTCAGTGTCTTAGGCCATAGTTCGAATTCTTTTTGTTGGTCACGAGGGATAAAAACAATAGCTGGCAACCTTCTAGACCCGTGTTGTGTAACTCTCTCTCTCTCTCTCTCTCTCCACACACTGTCTTAAAAACTCTTCAAGAATTAATTATCTCCTTGGAATGTGTCTTAATTACCTGCCATTCACCTTTATCACCTGGTGTTTACCTGCAGATCAACCACCTCAACTAATCTCATTTAACCTAACCCCTCAGCTAGCGTTAGGGTGTCTAATCTTCAGGTGATCCGATTAGGCGTCTGGCATATAATTAACCAATGAGATTCTCTTATTACGACAAATACCAACCAATTGGAACTAATTCCCTTCAAAATATCGACCAATTGGAACACCAGTAACAAATTAACAATGCATTCAATCTAGTTCAATTTTCCCATAACAAGCGTCGACCAATGAAAAAAATCCTCCCTAAATTAATCGACCAATGGGGAGGGCAGCAAAACAACAACAAATGACGTAATTGGCATCATTATCCAATCAAGAGACGCGGAGAAAGTGACAGCGTCTCGGGAAGGTTTTGAAGCGGGTGTTTAATGTCTTCTGAGAATGATACTTGTAAACCAGTCAAGGCTTTGTGTTATGAGGAGGGGGGAGGGGGGGTGAGAGGGAGGGAGAGGGAAGGAGAGGGAGGTGGAGGGAAGGAGAGGGAGGAGGAGGGAAGGAGAGGGGTGAGAGGGAGGGAGAGGGAGGAGGAGGGAGGAGGAGGAGGAAGGGAGAAAGAAGACAGAGAGAGAGAGAGAGAGAGAGGGGGGTAAGAGATGAAGGGAGGGTGTGATTGCCTCTCTCTCTCTCTCTCTCTCTCTCTCTCTCTCTCTCTCTCTCTCGCCAGATAGTAACCCCTAAAGGTCCTCGTGTTATATTTCATCCTTTAATTACGGGTCGAGTCTCAGGGTAACAAAGGCGCCATTTTGTCTCACCTCTTTTCTGTCGTAAATCAGAGACGTTAAGGTTAAGGCGTCAAGTCATCCGTGTTTACGAGAGAAATTTAACTTACGATGATTTGACTGATGGCGAGTAGATAAAGATGGTGGTGGTGGTGGTGGTGGTAGTTGTTGTTGTTGTTGGTGGTGGTGGTGGTGGTGGTAGTGGTGGTGGTAGCGGTAGTTGTTGGCAGGCGATGGTAGTGGTGGTGGTGGTAGTGGAGTTGTTGGTATGATGGGTAGTGGTGGTGGTGGTGGTGAAATAAGTTGGTATGATGGTGGTAGTGGTAGTTGTTGGTATGATGGTAGGTAGTGGTGGTGGTAGGGTAGTGTTGGTGGTATGATGGTAGTGTGGTGGTGGTAGTGGTAGTTGTTGGTATGATGGTAGTGGGTGGTGGTGGGTAGTGGGTAGCTGTTGGTATGATGGTAGTGGTGGTGGTGGTGGTAGTTGTTGGTGCGATTTTGGTAGTGGTAGTTGTTGGTAGCGATGGTAGTGGTGGTGGTAGTGGTAGTTGTTGGTATGATGGTAGTGGTGGTGGTAGGTAGTTGTTGGTAGCGATGGTAGTGGTGGTGGTAGTGGTAGTTGTTGGTGGCGATGGTAGTGGTGGTGGTAGTTGTTGATGGTGGTGGTGGTGGTGGTGGTGGTGGTGGTGGTGGTGGTGGTGGTGGTAGCAGTTGTTGTTGCTTTTAGTGTCAATTAAAGAAGGTTAACTCCTGGAGGTTAAATCAAATCCCAGACATTATTGAACACACACACACACACACACACACACACACACACACACACACACATACATACACACACACACACATACATCTTGACTTTCATTTCTTGGAGATTTAATACGACTCCAAGGTGACCAAGCAGCTGGTGATAGGATACTCTCTCTCTCTCTCTCTTTTTCTCTCTCTCTCTCTCATGCCTGGGCGGCCATCACGAAATATCATCAACGTTAAACTCATTAAGACCTGCCTGACGACCCGTGTGTGTGTGTGTGTGTGTGTGTGTGTGTGTGTGTGTGTGTGTGTGTGTGTGTGTGTGTGTGTGCGCTTAGGTTAGGTTAAGTGTAAAGAAACAGAGATTGAAATATTGGAGAGAGAGAGAGAGAGAAAAGAGAGAGAGAGAGGAGAGAGAGAGAGAGAGAGAGAGAGAGAGAGGAATAAGGAAAAAATGGAAAAGTTAAATAAAAGAATAAAAGAACAATGAGGAAAGAGGTGAGGGTGGGGGGAGGCGTGTGAGAGGGAGAGGGCATGATGACCTCGACCTTCACCCCCCTTCCCCCACTCCAGATGACCTTTGACCCATCTCATGACTCAGGTGACCCGGATGATGGAAATGTTGAAATTCGTCCAAAAAATATGTACTTGGCACCCGTCTGACCTAGAGCTGTTGTTGTTGTTATTGTTGTTGTTTTTACATTGAAACTTCTATTTAAAGGACTACATGGAAAGAAGTCGTTATATGGAGGTTTGACTGTATTATGATTTATGGAGCCTACAGTATCCAACCCGACCCAATCCAACCTAACCGAACCCAACCCAACCTAACCGAACCCAATCCAACCTAACCGAACCCAATCCAACCTAACCCAACCCAACCTAACCGAACCCAACCCAACCTAACCCAACCCAACCCACCCAATCCTAATTCCAGCCCAACCCAACCCAAACCAACCCAACCTAACCCAAACCAACCCCCACTTCATCCTTCAGGTTACTAACGCCCCCACGTTCTTCTAATCCACAGAGAACCAGTGTGGACGGCCAGGACGCCCCGTGAATGGCACAGTGTCTACGTCAGGAAGGTTCTATTTCCCCAGAGAACGTGTGGCCTACAAGTGCCTGGAGGGGTTCGTTCTGTTCGGCGCCGAGGAACGAACCTGTCAGAAGAATGGAACGTGGAGTGATCAAGTCCCCCTCTGTGGTGAGTCTGTGTCTGTGAGTCTGTGAGTGTGATCAAGTCCCTCTCTGTGGTGAGTCTGTGTCTGTGAGTCAAGTCCCTCTCTGTGGTGAGTCTGTGTCTGTGAGTCTGTCTGTGAGTGTGATCAAGTCCCTCTCTGTGGTGAGTCTGTGTCTGTGAGTCTTTCTGTGAGTGTGATCAAGTCCCTCTCTGTGGTGAGTCTGTGTCTGTGAGTCTGTCTGTGAGTGTGATCAAGTCCCTCTCTGTGGTGAGTCTGTGTCTGTGAGTCTGTCTGTGAGTGTGATCAAGTCCCTCTCTGTGGTGAGTCTGTGTCTGTAGTCTTTCTGTGTATTTGTGAATCTTTTTCTATGGCATGAAAGTGTGTAACTGCTACTACTACTTAAATCTGATCTTATACCAGGACCTACTTAAACGTACACCCTACTTTACACTTAATCTGCTACTTTACACTTAAGCCAGTTATACTTTTCCTAAAAATATATACACCTATAATAGTATTCAGGAAGAGACTTTCAGATTTTAACTTTCGAGGAGCGGTCCATTCACGGCTGTTTTGTGCGGGTCAGCTGTTAACGCCATCTGGACGGGAAAAGTGACAGGCTTGGTCACTCACCTTCCCCTCACAACCATCACCAGTGCATGAACAGCTCAGACCCGTGTTGGAAAAGTGCCACGAACATGACCAATTTAGTTATGTTAATATCTTACCACGCATTAAATTTTCCCTGACGGTCAAAAATTATATAAGCATTCATTCAAGTCACTAAATTCGAACAGGCGATATATCCCCGAACACCCCTTTGCTTGAGTGACTCCCCCTCCCCCCCTCCCCTTCCCCCTACACTCACCCTTTAGTGTAAATAATGGGATCTGGTCTATTACTGAACGTATTTTGAACTCTCAGTAGGGGAGAGACATGAGGAGTGGTGAGGGTAATGTCTAATGCGTTCGTGGATTCAATAATACTAACTCACCATTGTATTACGTGTTCGTGGATTCAATAATACTAACTCACCATTGTATTACGTGTTCGTGGATTCAATAATACTAACTCACCATTGTATTACGTGTTCGTGGATTCAATAATACTAACTCACCATTGTATTACGTGTTCGTGGATTCAATAATACTAACTCACCATTGTATTACGTGTTCGTGGATTCAATAATACTAACTCGTTATTATATGGACGCAGAAACGATATAAATGAGTAGACAGAGAAACAAAGATGAGAGAGAGAGAGAGAGAGAGAGAGAGAGAGAGAGAGAGAGAGAGAGAGAGAGCACAACCCCCTCCATCCCGATTGGTAGTGAGGGGAGGATGACGTCACGAGTGTAAACATCTCTCTGTGTACTGTAGGTAAGAAAGTGAGACGTATTGTAAGCGCCATATGAACACCTCTCCCGCCATAAAAAAAAAATGTCCACCAACTGCCCGTATAACTTTGCTCACTTTCACAACCATTATACCATCCACCGCTGCGTCACCCTTGTAGATTGACTGACTGTTCGGTCATCATAAAGCACCTTGGTCACCTGGTAATGGCGTTCAGGTGAATCAGTCATCGTCATCCACAGCGCCATGTTGAAAAAATCGTCTTTTCTTGACTTATTTCCCGTCAAAACTAAATCTGCTTTTCCCGCCAAAACCCTCAATTTACATCTCCCGCCAAAACTCACAATAGCGCGCCAAAAATAAGTAAACAAACCTCAACCCTTAATTAGCTCCAGGTAACTTATTTACATCTTCTCCTTAGTGTAGCAGCTGTTGAAAGTCTGCCTCGTAATCCTCTGCGGGTTGGAAAGTGACCGGCGCAAGATGACGGTTGTTCTGTATTTATATTTGAATATTTGAATCTTAACGGATGAGAGAAAGTGATTCGTGTAAGGTGACAGTTGGTAGCTGTTTCAGATTTGAATATTTGAATCTGACGGTTTCCGAATTTACGAGATGACCGTTGACATATATTCAAATTTAAATGTTTGAATTTTGAATTTTTGGTGGTTAATGCCGTTGATAATAGAAAAAAATGCTACGAGATTTTTAACCAGACTGAACAGATGACGAAGTTATTTTAGAAAGTTACTGAAATATTAACGCCCCTTTAAGGAGTTAATTGGAACAGCTGTCAGTAATATTGTCTGAGGGAAAGTTTAATGTTGTTTGTGACTTATGATTGTCAGTAACGTACATACATACATACATACATACATACATACATACATACATACATACATACATACATACATACATACATACATACATACAGATAAGTAGATAGAGAGATAGACAGAGATAGATAAGAGATAGATAGATAGTTAGACATAGTTTTAATAAGTAGCCAGGAAGGGGTGGGGGGAGATGTAGGGAGGGGAGAGAGAGGGGGGGTGGGGAGGAGAGAGGGGGGGTGGATATATGGGGAGGGGAGAGGAGAAAGAGGAGAGGTGGGGGAGAGGAGAGGAGGGGGAGGGTAGGGAGGAGGTGAGAGAGAGGGGGTGGGGGAGGAGAGGAGAGAGAGGGGTAGGGAAGGGAGGGGAGAGGAGAGAGAGGAGGAGGAGAGAGAGAGAGGAGGGGAGGGGTAGGGGAGAGGGGAGAGAGAGGTAGGGTGGGTAGGGGAGAGGAGAGAGAGAGGGGGGTGGGGGGGAGGAGAGAGAGAGGGGAGGGGGGGAGGAGAGGGAGAGAGAGGGGGTTGGGGGAGGGGAGAGGGAGAGAGAGGGAGGTAGGGGGGAGGAGAGGAGAGAGAGGGGGGTGGGGAGGAGAGGAGGGGAGGTAGGGGAGAGGGGGAGAGAGAGGGGTGGGGGGGGGGAGGGGAGAGGAGAGAGAGGGGAGGGGGGAGAGGAGAGAGAGGAGGGGGAGAGGGAGAGAGAGGAGGAGGGGGGAGGGTAGGGGGAGAGGTGGAGAAGAGAGGGGTGGGGGGAGAGAAGGGTCGTGTGGTAGGAAGTTCCAGTGTTGATCCCGGATATAAAATAACGATAAGAGACGAGGTGTGTGTGTGTGTGTGTGTGTGTGTGTGTGTGTGTGTGTGTGTGTGTGTGTGTGTGTGTTCTTCAAGTAGATGGGACGGAATCTGGATGATAGGATGATAGCCTATAATTTCAGTGTTAGAATGACGGAATGAGAATGTTAGTACAGGAACGTGAGTGAACTAGTTAAGAGAGAGGGAATGGAGGGAGGGAGAGGGAATGGAGGGAGAGAGAGGGAATGGAGGTAGGAGGAAAGAGGGGGGGGGAGGCGGTTCAGACGGGTTTTGAAGGTTTGATTACGTTCCAATTCCTCCTTCACTCAGACGTTGTTGATATCATTGGTGTGTTCAGCTGTAGAAACCATAATAAAATGAACAATCCCCACTACGTCCTGGGTTTAATATCGTTATGGCGTCTTAGTGATCAATAACTCTCAATCTATGTTTCTTACTAAAAAAAATCGACTTGAATTCTCTTCCTCCAGTCAGTTTCAACTTTCAATCTCCCGTCAAAGTCGTGAATTGTGTTTGGTAATGTATTAGTCTCATCATTAAGAGAACTGTTCGTAATGGCTTCACACTTTTCTAGTCTTTTGAAGAAAGTTTGAAAGTGTGTTCAATTGTTGTGAACTTTCTGAACTAACTTCCCCTAAACTGTGTGAACTAAAACACCGAAATCTCTCTCTCTCTCTCTCTCTCTCTCTCTCTCTCTAAAGAAAGTGAAGTCTTTTAAAATTGGCATCAAAATATTAGAAACTGTGCCGAAATATTTTATGGATCTGCCAAAAATCACGGGTGACTTTTAAAATAGTCTGTTACGAGATACTACTACAACTACTACTACTACTACTTTTTTACTACTACTACTACTACTACTACTATTAAATTATCATTATTATTATCATTATCATCATATTTACCATCAATCACCACAAAAATGCGTTACGTAACATATATTTTAAACAAAGGCTTAACACTGGAGACAAAAGGTCCTTCCCTCAGCACTGGAGCGAACCATTCTACACCACAAGAATCTATGTTATATATTCTGTGACCACACCCAGTCACCTTCTCACGTTTACTCACAATACTCAAAATATTTCAGTACTCATAATATTTACTCATAGGTTTTTTTTTCATAGTTTATTATTATTTAGGGGTAATATTAAGTTCAGTTTGTTTAGGGTAATTCACAGATACTCATAATTGCTCTCAGATACTCGCAAATACTCACAATTACTCACAATTACTTATAGAAATAGCATCAGTCGGTGTTATTTGAGACCAATTATCTTTTATAAACTTTTTTTAATTAGTAAATATTGAAGGTATTGATGGACGAAGGAAAATCACAATATAAACAGAATTAAAATATAGACGAGTGTGAAATGATAGACAGGAGATGAGGTTAGACGGAAGAGAAAGAGACAGGAGGAAGAATGACGCGCACACACACACACACACACACACACACACACACACACACACACAAGAATGGCATTCCACTGTTCTAAGATGCAAAATTCCACCTTCCTTCCTCCTTCCACCCTCCTCCCTTGCCACACTATCACATGGCCTAGTCACTTCCAATCACCTACAATCATTCACAATCACCCCCCTCCCCCCTCTCCCTGAGTGACGCCCTGGTAACTTACTGGTCACTCGTCCGTGTTGGCTTTCGTGATGTAAGTCAGTAGTGTCGTATTGAAGTCTGTCGTTCTGTCTGTCTGTCTGCCTCTCTGTCTCTGTCTGTCTGTCTGCCTCTGTAGTTAAGTTTACTGTAGTTAAGTTTGGTTAAATTAGATTGGGTTAAGTCAGGTTAGTTTAAGTTAGGTTAGTTTAGGTTAGGTTAGGTTGAGCCAGATTAGTACTGATACATCATAGTTTGTATTTAGTTTATATATCCGTCTACACACACACACACACACACACACTACTTCAATATTCCCAAGAAACAAAAATACAACTGTATTAAAACTGTATCTAAAAATGTCTAAAACATTTGTCACCATGTCTAAAAAAGGTCACTAACTCTGCTGTCGAAATGAAAGTAAAAGATTAATGGCTTTATAATGTCTCACGCGTCACTCACCACTAAACGACTCTGTGGACGGTTTTTTGGCCGAGTGAGTGACTAAGAGTGTAATAGTGTAACTCAGTCGTGACGCAATCTGTAACTCTTTTTTTCTCGCTTAAACAATAGTTATATCGTCATAAATTTACGCCCAGAAACCCATTACTTAACTTCCTCAACTTTTATATATATATTTTATGTTCGTATCCCTTAACGACAATCTTGTTTTTATTTATTTATTTATATATTTATTTATTTATTTATTATTATTATTATTATTATTATTATTATTATTATTATTATTATTATTATTATTATTACGTGTATGCTTTGTTGACAGAGCGACTTCCTTTAACACAAACCCCCCAACACCCAGAGGTAAAAGTGACCACTCATAACAAAGCATTCAACTTTCACTCCAAGAGATATTAGTTCTGATTGGTGAGCCCAAAACCTCGTTCACTCCCTTATTTTATAAGTGACTTGACCTTAATTGTCACTCTCAGGGAATGATAGAGATATGGTTGAGACCGAGAGAGGGATAGAAAGAGAATGAGAAAGAGAGAGAATAAAAAAGAAAGGAATTTGCAAGGGCTCAATAACGTAAATAATAACAATAATAATGATAGCCGTTATTAATAATAAAATGAAAGTGTAGTAATAAGTAATGATAAAATTATGGCGTCTAGCAGTAAAAAATAATAAAATAAATAATTAATTCCAATATTTAGCGTCATAAAAAAAGAGACGAAATAAAACAGTCACCATCGCCATCTATGAGTCGGCGGCATAACTAAGTGTTGACAGGTGAGACGTCTATTATATTTAACACGGACTAGCGGTTCCTTGTATCAGCTGTTAACATTTTTGCTTGTTGGAGGTTCGTGGTCGTTTATATCGCTTTAAAGGTGTTTAAGGCTGTGAAAATATCCTCTAACAGATAGGATATACGTTTAAACAGCAGGTAAGTTGATTTAGTAAACTGTGAAGTGTTAGTGTGTTAGACAAAACCGTTTAGTGAGGTTGGCGACAGAATGATGAGAAAAATGAAACATTCTATGATAATTTAAAAATATTTTGAGTTAGAATGACTAATATTGCCTTTGTCATATTATTTATTCATTGTTAGGGTTCAGTAGGCAGTCAGTGGTGGAGCAACTTAACCTGTTTTAGAACGTTGAAATGTGACGATCGTGTCTGAAGGTTAAATGGACCTCAGACCTATAATTGACCTATAGAATCCAACCTGTAGTTATGGATGTTCTCCCAATCACCAGTAACAGACGCCCTCACAATCACCAATAACACACGCCCTCACAATCACCAATTACATACACCCACAAGTTCTCAACCAGTGTTTTTATCTATCAAGTATGTGCTCTCTATCTCAAGTTCGGTCGAGAGTTAAGTTGGGTCACACGAAGATTAGTGACCTTTACTTAAGTCACCTGATGATTATACACCTTAATGTTAATCTCAACTTAACCTAACATAATATAACAGTAATTAATATAATATAACTTTATAGAACCTAACATAATATAACAAATTAATCTAATGTAACATAACTTTACAGAACGTTACTTAATCTAACCTAACCTAACCTAACCTAACCTAACCTAACCTAACCTAACACATCTCCTTTGGTTACAGACTTTAACTTAGCGCGGGGTAAAAGGACACTCCAGAGCGCGACGTTATGGTCCTATGCTCCCGAGATGGCGGTCGACGGCAATCCTGACACCTGTTCTTTCACCCCCCGAGGCCCCCAGCCCAGGTGGTGGCAGGTGCATCTGGGACACAAGTTTAACGTCATCAGTGTGGGTGTTACTATTAGTCCAGGTGAGTGTAAGGAACTGATGAATGTTTGGGGTGGGGGACTATGGTCGATGGCTTGTTTATCATGCATCCAATATTCCTACTTACAGAGCAGAGGTTCACAGAGAGTCTTTGGTCTAGCTCTCAGTGTTGCAGAGGTTCACAGAGAGTCTTTGGTCTCGCTCTCAGTGTTGCAGAGGGTCTAGCTCTCAGTGTTGCAGAGGTTCACAGAGAGTCTTTGGTCTAGCTCTCAGTGTTGCAGAGGTTCACAGAGAGTCTTTGGTCTAGCTCTCAGTGTTGCAGAGGTTCACAGAGAGTCTTTTTGGTCTAGCTCTCAGTGTTGCAGAGGTTTAGAGAGTCTTTGGTCTAGCTCTCAGTGTTGCAGGAGGAGAGTCTTTTTGGTCTAGCTCTCAGTGTTGGTGAGGTCTGCAGAGAGTCTTTTCTCTTGTCTAGCTCTCAGTGTTGCAGAGGTTCACAGAGAGTCTTTGGTCCAGCTCAGTGTTGCAGAGGTTCACAGAGAGTCTTGGTCTAGCTCTCAGTGTTGTAGAGGTTCACAGAGTCTTTGGTCTAGCTCTCAGTGTTGCAGAGGTTCACAGAGAGTCTTTGGTCTAGCTCTCAGTGTTGTAGAGGTTCACAGAGAGTCTTTGGTCTAGCTCTCAGTGTTGCAGAGGTTCACAGAGAGTCTTTGGTCTAGCTCTCAGTGTTGCAGAGATCACAGAGAGTCTTTGGTCTAGCTCTCAGTGTTGCAGAGGTTCACAGAGAGTCTTTGGTCTAGCTCTCAGCATTGAGGATGATAATCTTATGAGTACAGTACAGTGTATTTTCAGCATATATTCTGTCTAGATCATTACACAGCAGTTATCTTATCTAATAGGTGCAAAATATAGATACAGTATAGTCTTAATATATCAGCTATCTTTCCCCCATCAGTCTTGTTTAGTGAGCCATCAGTGTAGATGGTCTGTGTGATGGTATTTTCTGTGTAGTTTGTGTGTGTATGTGTGTGTGTGTGTGTGTTCAAGAGCTCTCACTTTGGTGGTGTGTTCGAGGTAAGAGCTCTGTGTGTATGTGTGTGTGTGTGTGGAGTCAATCATGTGGGCTGGTATGTGTGTGTGTATGTGTGGAGTCAATCATGTGGGCTGGTATGTGTGTGTGTATGTGTGGAGTCAATCATGTGGGCTGGTATGTGTGTGTGTATGTGTGGAGTCAATCATGTGGGCTGGTATGTGGGTATGGTGGTTATCGAAAGGAACAGGCTTATGGCAGGAAGTACAGTAGTGTCTCAGCCTTTCACAGATTATCTAGTCCAAACAACTTCATATGTGTGGTTGTAAATTGGTGTAGGTGATGATAGATACTGGTAGGTGATGACAGGAGAGAGAGAGAGAGAGAGAGAGAGAGAGAGAGAGAGAGAGAGAGAGAGAGAGAGAGAGAGAGAGAGAGAGAGAGAGAGAGAGAGAGAGAGAGAGAGTACCTTCGTTTAACACTTATGATTTTAACAATACTGCCAACAAAATTTTCCCCGCCATTTCTCTCACCAACTTAGCGGGGAGAAAGTATGAGCCAGTGGGCCAATTAGACGAGATTAAACTGTCCATTGTACACACTGTTGTTGAAACTTGATTGCTTAATTGTCTCATACTCACTGCTAATTGTCATCATAGTTTTCGAGATTGTTGTGGGTTATTAGATTGTTGTGGGTTATTAGTGGATGATTGTAGATTAGCTCGTTAAAAGTTATTGTATCGATGTGAGTTTTTGTTTTGACGCCATAATTTCCTCATCTCTTTGAAGTAGAGAACTGTGTGTACTGTATCTGGTTAATTTATGTTTGTACTTTATTTACTTGATTGTCTTATAGCTAGGGAGACTTTATTGACGTGTTGCTTTTAGTGCTCAACAAACACACCCACTCTTAAATGGTTTCAAGTGTGCCCATAAGTTTTAAATTATCTTTGCTGATTAAGGATCTGGGTTCACAATTTAAAATTTCTAGTAATTAGTGTCTATTAATGACATTAGAAATAATTAAAAATATGTAGAGTATTTATAAAGTCAATTATGTTGTGCCCAACCTTCAGGTATTGGGATAAACCCTCATAAAATAATGTCACCACAAAATGAAATGGAGACTCAGATTCACCTGTCTCCATCAGGGGTGAAGGTCATGGTTAAGGGTCAAAGGTTATGTCTCGCTGAATGCTGCAGTGTGATCTTCTTTTGTTTTTGTTTTCAATGATTTCTTGACATTATTTTAATTCATTAGTTTAACCTTAATTTATTTCCTCTGTTAATGAATAGGAAATATAATTATACCTGTACTATTCCAGGAATATTTTTATACAGAGTTCTTACTGAAATGTGAAAGTAATTTAGACATTCTTGAACATTGCAACGCAGGTCAATCATTATCGTGATTTGGGCAACAAATATAATTTTCGCCATGATCTTGTCATAATCGTTACGTGGTACCCAGTGGGAAGCTGCCTGTGTGTATACGATCCTCCAGTTATTATTCACTTTATCTTAATCTCCCGTATAAAATGTTTCAATCTCTCCATGAATCGTGATTTCAGAGACTGATGTAAGGCAGTTACAGTATTGCGAAGAAATCTCAAGATGAATCCTAACTTTATAAGAATTGTTTTCATATATTTAGTCGCCCCAACATGTTTCGTCATCATAATAGGTGTATTGTGAGAGTATTACAGTATTACAGTATCACGTTCAACAAAATAAATGACAAGCACGTTTAGAAAGGAATGACAGTACAGGGTGAGTGAGGCCAGTCGTTGCCGCCACTTGCTCCATCATCGCGCTCAACAACTAGCGGAAAACATTAACTCAACTTTACACAAAAAAAATTGCACACAGTTTTGGCCACATTCTACACTAATTTTAACGCTATTTTACTTTATCCTCTTCGCCACTGATGATCTGTTAACCTCTTGGGCAGTCGGTCACGTCTCTGTTACACTGTTAGGGTCTGTGCTTGTCCGAACAGAAAAATAATTGAAATCTGGATCTGTGTTTGTAGCAACAGTTATTAATTCGATCAATTCTAATGGAACCTAATCAATCAAACCAAATTCTGATGTTTGGTTAGGTTAACTTGAGGCAGGTTAGAGCTTAATTTAGATTGGGGCCCAGGACTGGGGTCTATTAGGACTGGGGCCCATTCAGTCCCCCGAGAGCTTACAAGAAAAGAACAGTAAGTTATGATTTCTAGTTTGTGATGTCAGATGAATGCCAACTTGATGTACTGTAGTCGGATTAATAAACACAATAAATGTCTCTCTCTTCTCTTCTCTCATATTTGACCCTGAAGTAACCACAGTTCTCCACATTGTATTTCAGGGTCGGTCCAGGAGTTCACCATCTACGTCATCGAGCTGCTCACAGACAACAAAGCCCTCTATAAGCCATGCACCACCTTCAAGGTATGGCAGTCTTCTAGTGGAATAAGCTGGGGTGCCTTCAGGTGAAATAAGCTTAACTGTCTACTAATCTTACAGGTGGAATAAGCTTAAGTGTCTACATAATCTTACAGGTAGAATAAGCTGGAGTGCCTAATGTTCAAGTGATTCTAAAATAGGTAATATTAAGACCATTTAAACTAAGTGTCGTAATAAAAATATCACAGTTTAACGAGCTGAGTGACATTTGACCGTGTTTCACTGTGGCGGCGTGTAACAAGTAAACAAAAAATGGGATAAAATAGAAAGTTAATAGGTAGGGCAATAAATTCGTGGGTTTTTTTTTTCTTTTGCATGTGGCGGAGAAAAGAAGAGTGTTTAGGTTACAGCGTCGTTAATTGCTGGTAAATTTATTGTGCCTGGTACAGAGACGGGGAAAGTGTTGACATTTGAATGCTCTAAGAGTCTAAGTAAATAAACGGTACTGGACAAGAAAGTGAAAAATAAACACTTTTATTTTCATTACGTATAATTTTTTTGGGGCGGGTTTTCATTTTAATAAGTGAGAATGATAATGGAGATGGAGGTGAGAGCAAAAAGGAACTGACTGTATATGAATTTAAAGTGTGGTGAGAGTGATTTGTGGAAGGTCTTATGGGAGCTTTAATAAAACTGTGGTTGATTCATGATGGACACACACACACACACACACACACACACACACACACACACACACACACACACACGCACACGCACACACACACACACACACACACACACACACACACACACACACGCACGCACGCACGCACACGCACACACACACGCTCACGCACACACACACACACACACACACACACACACACACACACACACACACGCACACACACACACATTTATGACTCAACATCACAAGGCCGTTCTTTCATCTCACCACAAATTGCTATATTGTTCATTCAAGCAATTTATCAGTTACGATGTATTTTTATTTTGCCCCCGTGGAGGAAGTGAAAAATTGCCTTCACAAGTTATCAAGGTGGAATTTTTATCTTTGCACTTAATTCAACTTGATAAATAAATAAATAAAATATTGGGGATAGTTTTAACATTATATTATAGTAAAGTTAAATGTAGGTTCTATGACTTTCTTTTAATTTGTCTTTAAATCGTCTTTTCCTCTGTGTCTCATTTTCACCCTAAACTCATCATTTTTTTTTCATTCTGAACATCAGTTTTTCCCCTGTGGACATTAGTTTCTTCCCTGTGGACAAAAGTTTTTTCCTTATGTACATAATTTTTTTCCCTGTGGACATTAGTTTTTTCCCTGTGGACATCACTTTTTCCCCTGTGGACATTAGTTTTTTCCCTGTGGACATCAGTTTTTCCCTGTGGACATCAGTTTTTCCCCTGTGGACATCACTTTTTTCCCTGTGAACATCAATATAATACTCTTAAGCTATTCTTGTTGTTGTTTCTGATTTAATAAACCCTTTTTTTGTGTTTATTAATTCCATGTTTTTCCTCCCATTCATTCAGTATTACCGTACTTATTTTCACCCAAAGGTCTATTTTTTCTCACTTACTAAGATGTTCGTTTGTCATTCTGAGTTGCAGTAAATCAACCTGTACTGTACCCTTATTTCATCACTCTTAACCATTATGTTCTAAAACTCCCTATTTTACCCGATATACTGTGGGGTTCGAGATGTTTGGTTCACACTCAGGATGGGATGGAGAAAGGAAACTCACAATGTGCTCTCTGTATACATGTTGTATTGGATGTACAATGCAGCTTGGTGCTGGGAAGGCAGCATGGTTACAAGCGTGATGTAGAGAGAGCTGGTTGGTGAGGGTGCTCAGAGGACTAGCTTGTGGGTCGTCATGGTCGCTGGCGGGAGCGAGGGCCTCCAGGCAGGAGGAGGAGGAGGTGTTGTTTGCTGGTTGGTGTAGGTCGAAAGAGAGGTAGGTCACCACGAGGTCAGGTCTTATATAGCGGAGGTAGGCGTGGCTTAATAGTTGACCTCCGTCATGTAAGGCGGCGCTGGTTGACCTAGACCATGAGGCATACACTGGGGAATTCGCGGGGTCGGCTACTCAGCGACAAACAGCGTTTGTAGGGGAGAAATCCACTACAATACCTTATAATTATCCTCTGTTTTATAACCTATTTTTACTCGTTTTCAGCAAAAAAAATCCCCATTTTTTACCCTCTTACCCATTCAGTTGTCTCTGTTCTATGCCTATTACCTATTTTTTTTATTATCAGCTTAAAACTCGTTAATTTCTACCCTATTACACTTTCACTTTCATATAATAAGGACCCATTTTATACCCATATCCAACAAATAAAGAGACAATAGGTAACCCATTTTCCTCCCATTATATCCTTTTCTCACCTGGCAGGGAGTGTTCCAGACCCACAAGGCGTTATTCCACTGCAACGACGGCTTGGGTCACCCCGGTCAGTTTGTTTACATCCGGGACGACCGTGAAGAGCAGGAGTATTTTGGTCTTTGTGAGGTGGAGGTCTTTGCTTTTCGAGGTAAGATCCTGTTTGCTTGTTTGTTTTTTGTTTTTTTGTTAATCTCGTTAAGGTCATTTCCTAATTGTGACCTTGCGTAGTCTGTTCTGTTTTTTGTGTCTGCCTTCTGTTGCTATGATGTTCCTAGTACTAATTTAATGTCCCTGCTCATAGAACCAAGAACTAATAGTAAATAGAATGAATCACTCCTAGTAATAACTCCTGGTAAATAGATGAATCACTCTTAGTAAGAGCTCCTAGTAACTCAGTACTCCTGTCTACAGAACGTATCCCGTGTGGTGAGCCGGAGGTGCCCGTGGAGGGGGAAGTTGTCCGCCAGGGTGAAACCAAAGCCTCCTATACCTGTAGGTCAGGCTTCAGGTTGGAGGGTGACCCTGTCTTAACCTGCTCCTCCAAGGGCAAGTGGGAAGGTCAGACTCCAAGGTGTAAGGGTAAGTCTTTAGGGGGGATATAGGGTTTATTATTAAGGGGATTTTAAAGGATAACTTGAGGGGTTTTAGGGGATTTCTAGATAAATAAACAAAAGAAAACGTTATAGAGTGAAGAGATTTTAGACTAGTTACGGGGATTTGGTTTCATATAGAGAGTCAATGGATTTAAGAAAGAGTCAGTCAGTTTAAGAGTGAGTCGGTCAGTTTAAAATTGAGTCAGTAGGCTTAGAGAGAGTGACCTTCCTTGATGTGTTATTTATTGCTGTGACCTTCCTGTGACCTTCCTTGACCCAACACACCCTTGCAGAGTCACAGTGTCCAGCCCCAGAACACGTCAGCCATGGGTTCATCGAGGTCGCCAATTTCCACGGGGTGTACGGATATGGCACAGTGGCCACTTATACCTGCAGCCCGGGCTATGTCCTTTATGGAAACTCTACCCGCACTTGCGACCACACCGGCCACTGGACCAACGAATCACCTACGTGCCAAGGTATGTCTTTCTATGGTAGCTACAGGTAATATATGGTAGCTACAGGTGATGTATGATAGCTACAAGTAATGTATGGTAAGTTATGTAAAGTAAATGTGAATTTCTGAAAGAATTTTTTTTATCCATTACAGTACTATAATAATTTTCGTTGTTAGAATTTCACCTTTATAAATGTACGGCATAATGTGTTGCCTCTCTGAAACAGTGACTATTACTAGTGCTGTAGTGCAGTACTTTTTATTATTGTTATTATTATTTAATGTCATCAACAGCTGTAACATGTGGCTCACCACCAGTGTTCCCACATGCTCGACACACACTAATCAATGGTTCCACCAACTGGAATGGAATCGCTGTGTACACCTGTAGTGATGGCTATAGACTGCATAGAGGTAAGGAAAAACTGCTTGTGGATGCATATAGGATGTGGGAAAAACCCTACGAAAGTGACCATCACTTTTCTTATTTTGCGAGTTCTGTTAAAGGGTGAAATCCACCTGTACGTCCTCATACCCTGTACAGCAGTGTGGGATAAGAAACTTGATAACTTAATACTGTACTATATGGAGAGGATAATTATGATCATGGATGAGTTTGACATTAACCCCTTCACTATGGGGATGTCATCTTTGACACTGTCTGGTTAATGCCAGACAATTTTATTCAGCACAGAGGGACCTTGTACACAAGAGATTAAGAAAATCAAACTACTGTACATTGATAGCATTTCAAACCACCTCAGTCATAGTGGACCCTAACCTAATCGAGCCACTAAGATTGGTGTCCGTGAGGACATGGCTTTAAACCTAGGGATGATTATAGATTAGGATAAGTAAAGCTGGGTTAGGTTGGGGTGCATTAGTACTGGGTCATAATCCATATGTTAGGTTTGATGAGATTATATTAGTTTTGGACCTGGTTGAGGGATGTTGATTATATGCAACTAGAATGTTATTGTCAAAGAATAATTTGTTTTATTTTGTAGGCAGTCATTCAATCAGTGTAAGATCATGCCAAAGACTAATGGTTGATTGAGAATGTCCAACAGAGGTAATAGTAATATGAAAGGAACATGTTGTTCAGATCATTTAATTTGCCTTTCATGTACACCGGAGTCCTGTACTGTACAGATAATTACATTTTAAGAAAGTATGCACAGAGCCCACAGTAATTGTGATAATTTCCAGACACGGGCGACACAGTGACAACTTGTATGGACATCGGTGCCTGGCGCTTCATCAATGTGACCTGTGTGCCAATAGAGGTGCCATCGGCAGCCATAACAAGTGTACGTCGCGGGGAAGGTCGTGCCCTCACCTACGACCTGACCCAGACTCCTCCCACAGAGCCCCAGGGCACGCAGAGCCTGGTGGTGGCTCTGGCTGTGGTAGCAGGCCTCCTGACAGCAGCCATGCTGGTGGTGGGGACACTGTTAGCAAGGCGCCACTTAATCTCTGGGCCCGGTTCACTCCGCTCGCTGGTGAGGTCGACTCCCACTAAAGATGCTACACTGTATGGTGTCATGGTTGGCCCTCGGCATCATGATGCCTCTGCCACTGTCAGCAGCAGTAGTGTTGCAGGTGGCAATGATACACCGATGGGAGTAAATGTTTCTCCAGTTGAACCAGGGATAAGGTCATCTATGTATCAGCAAAATATTTTGGCAAATTTACCCTCAAGGCCAGATGACCATGTGACCTCCATCACTGAGTCAGAATTTGATGATGACCCAAATTATGCTCATATAAATGGCCAGGAGCCACCTTATGAGAGGGTACGGACCCGATCTGAGCATAGTTATGAAACGCTGCGCAAAAAATCTCTTATATCAGAATTCGACAGTGAGTCTGGGAGTGGGAGAGAATTAGGTGACAAAGATAGTGTTGGCTATGAGTCTGTTAAAGAAAGTAAGGGAAAAGAAGCAGGATATGAAGTAGTGAAGGAGAAAGACCACGATTATGAAACACTGAAGGAGAAGGATCCTGGGTACGAGACAGTTGAAGACGGTCCGGACCACGGCTATGAGACAGTACGGGAGACCAACACACACCACGGTTATGAAACTCTCAAGCCTAAACCTCCGCCTCCCAGGACAGGAATAGAGTCTCCCATTCCAACAGACAGTGAAGAAAATGTCCCAGATATCTTACAAAACCTGGCCAGTGAAACCTCAACACCTGTTGTGCCACCAGAGATCTTGGCCTTGTATGCTCGTGTGGATAAGAGCAAAAAACGGCGGCGTGCAGATGTTGCCAGCGACTCCGACAGCACCCGGGGAAGTGAGACTTGTTCCCCAGTACCACCAGCACCACCACTCTCACCAGTACCACCACACTCACCAGTACCACCACACTCACCAGTACCACCACACTCACCAGTACCACCACACTCACCAGTCAGCCCCAGTATAAGCACCAACAGCAGTACTACTAGCATCAGTGACCCTGCAACAGATGTCAGTTATATGAGTGAGGGACCTCCAGTACCCTATGTTGCCAAAGACCTAATTCGCAAGTTCAACCGGCTGACCAGTGAGGAGGACATGTCTCCCCGACCTCGCAGCAGGCAGGGCAGCGTAGCCAGTGATACGGGAAGCTTGCGACCTCTCCCTCCCCTCCCTAAAGAAAGTGACTATGCAACGCCTCCCTGCTAGCATCACCAAATTATGTAGTGTCCTCCACCATAGTAGAGTTGTTTGTGTTGAATCATCTCACATCACTGCAGTTGTGACACATTCACACTCATCCTTGTTGTCTCCTATCATAAAACTGTGCTTTATATGCCAAATGTATGGGCTAATAAACCAGGAGTTAATAAGCTTATAATCAGCAAGATTTTTCAAACTAAAATATTACCAATATGATATGGGTTGAAACTAATACTCTAGTTTAAAAGGTAATTGTAAAGATATGTTCATAAAACTAATTACTATTGTTGATACTTCATGTACATTACAGCTTTAAATATTGTAAATATCTTTCATGTGTTGATTTGCTAACATGAAACAATTCACAGTAATGAACACAGAATTTAGCGTTAAACTCAGCATGCAAAATAAAAAGCAATATTTGTGCTTTAATATGAAATTACATTACTGGTTATGAGGCTGGGATGAGACAAACATGTTGACCTTGATATTAAAGTGATCGCCTTAGTGTTATTAAACAGTTTTGTGACATAAACACTTATTGGTGAGCTTTACAAGAATGACCAAATAATTACTAGGTATTTTATTTATATATGTGTGTCAGGCATAGTGGATTGTTATTATTATTCAGCATACTTTTTGTTTGAGGACCAGGTTGAGTTAGAGTGTTGTACTGTATTTACATGCTCTTGGACTTGGTACTGTACTGTGGTTCTCCTCTTGATAAAATTAATTAGTGAACTCAAGAAATTTTTCCAAGTCAGATCTGTTCATCTCGGCTCTGATAAACAGCACATAGTGAAGACCTATTATAGCGAGTCATTTGTATTGTGTATATTTATATCATCCACTTGGTCTGTCGTACTCTCACCACACTGGATCACGCTTGAGGATTTATTTCACTCACAAGGTTATTGGCGCACCTCTATATTCAACGTACTCATGCCACACACCCATAAACACAGTAACTCACCTTTCTCTTCATCAATCCTTACTTTTCTTGGTAAAATGGGACAGAACTGGTGGTTACAGTTCAAATTGGGCTCAGTCTCAATAGTTAGATTATGGCCCAATTAGGACTGATACACACTGTACCTATTTGATTAATCACTTTATCTCGTATCTCAAGCATCACAAGACACTAAAATCAACATAAAAAATATATTGATTCCAGCCATACCTTAAATATTCTTCTACATGATTTTGTTGTTTTCAGTACTGTACCAATATCTACTTACCTCATTGAAAGCAGCTTAATCAATGTCTCCATACCGTACTTGCTCACACCGCCCTCCTAAACCATTTTGTGCTTTCATCATCACCGCTGTCAAACACAAAAGGTCAGGTTTATAGTGAGTTAATGTCTAATATTTCATGTGTATTATTTATTTAGTATGACACCAGCCATTTTTTTTAGGCCCTTCTTGTGATGTAGTTACCATATTTTTTCTTGTTTAATTTTATAAGATTGTTCAACTAATGTGGTTTACGATTCTTCTTATGTTTGTTGTATATACATTCGGATGCACACAAGTTCTGAGGGTTATAATTTATATGACTGTACACTTGAGTTCAGGTAAAGAGGAATACAGTATTTTTTTTTCTTTATAGATTGTAATATAGTGAGGAAGATAATGCTTATATATCATAGCGAAGGTTTGTATTTTATTTTATACTTTATCTTCAGTAATGTAATCACACTGTGTAGTATTTTCTGGTGGTATTGGATAACATGCAAAGTGGTATAAATCCATCAGAACTCTATGAAGACAGGGACACACTCTTCCTTTAATTCACTTTATGTTAGCCCCAGAATTTCACTAATATAACTGTTATTTATGAGACAAAAACAAGAGAGAGGGAGTAAGTAGAGAGAGAGAGAGAGAGAGAGAGAGAGAGAGAGAGAGAGAGACAATTGAGAATATAGCATCAAAAAACCTTATTGAAAATACACAACCCGCTAATATCATCATAAACAACGGACATGTCAGCGATACTATGAAAAGACCATGTACAGTAGTCATTAAGTTAATAAAAAAACCTGTCAGTCATTGTCTGTCTCTGTGTTGAAATATAAAGCTGTAGGTTATTGTACAATATCTCAAAAAAAAAGTCTCTCCAAACTCTTGTGAGACATTATGAGACAACAGATCATAGATATTAGGATATGTATTTACTTTGGTATCTAGTTTAAATACAAGTAATGCAATGTTTATTTATTTGTGTGGAATTAATATGATGTTCGGTTACCAAATGTAGTAGGATCAGTAAGCCACAGAGCCAGGCATATCAACCCTCCCGGGACAGCACGAGTTGCATGTAACATTTCAGAAGGCTTCTGACCAATCTTGGCAGATACCTTAGGTTAAGACTGTAAAATTTCATAGACACATCCGAGTATGTTTGTATGTGTGTATATATATGTGTGTGTGTATGTATGCTTGTATGTGTATGTGTGTGTGTATGTATGCATGTATGTGTGTGTATGTGAAGGGGAAAGGGAGCATAAATTCCCTCATTTGTACACTACAGGTTAAAAGGATGTTTGTTTTAAGCTCCTCGGCCTACCAAATGATTGCGATTGTGTGATTTTTAAATTTTTTTGGTGTGTGTGTACGGTAATATTGGATGAGTAGATACACTTAGGTGGCCTCCCTACACCCCCTTCTTTTCTATACTGTACTGTAGTTGATAAGAGTCTTAAGTTATGTGGTACAATGTTGTCTCTTATCAGGAAAATAATGAATATGAGGACGAAATATCACTAATTGTTTAAGGTTGATGAGGAGAAAAGATCACTAATTATTTACGGTTGATGAGGAGAAAAGATCACTAATTATTTGCAGTTGATGAGGAGAAAAGATCACTAATTATTTACGGTTGATGAGGAGAAAAGATCACTAATTATTTACGGTTGATGAGGAGAAAAGATCACTAATTATTTACGGTTGATGAGGAGAAAAGATCACTAATTATTTGCAGTTCATGAGGAGAAAAGATCACTAATTATTTACGGTTGATGAGGAGAAAAGATCACTAATTATTTACGGTTGATGAGGAGAAAAGATCACTAATTATTTACGGTTGATGAGGAGAAAAGATCACTAATTATTTACGGTTGATGAGGAGAAAAGATCACTAATTATTTACGGTTGATGAGGAGAAAAGATCACTAATTATTTACCTGTTGATGAGGAGAAAAGATCACTAATTATTTATGGTTGATGAGAACAGTAGCTTACTAATTCATTTTGGTTGAACATATTCTTTAGCTACTGTCATTATTATCACATGAAAACTTACACACACTCTGTAGAGATTAAAATGTCTCTAAAAATTAAGTTTTTCTTCAACAAAGGATTAATTGGAGCCGTCCTCTTTATTCTTGTATATATCATGTACTGTACCTGTAATAGGGTGATTGGTGAGCCTGTTTGTGTATTCATGATTTTAATTGTAATTTTGTATTCTACATTTAATGTCCTCTTCTGTATTTGTTGATTTGAGTCGTGCATAATCCTGTGTTTTATTTGGTTGTTATGTATAAAGATTACAGTAATGTATATGAATAGTGAATTAAGTTATTAATATATCGTACCATATTGAAGTGTTATTCGCATGCAATTAAGTTATAAATACTGTACATTCAATTAGTTTTTAAATACATTAATTTAATTAGTGTTGCATCTTGTCGACTAAACTGGCACTCTGTTGACTGTTACTCTGACAACAGGTCTCGTTGTGTCTAACCATTAGAGTTGCTTGTGCGTCACCTTAAGTTCTAATGTTCACATACTAACTGCTGTACTGTACCATATATAGAAAAACAGATGATGGTGATGATGCCGTTAAATTATGATACATTTACATTAACTATTGCTAAAACTGTTATTTGTATTCTATGTTGAAGATGGGCTCAGAATAGTCAGTCACCAATTAGATTTTTAGCATTTACAGTTCCAGTCACTTAACATTCACTTATTTGTGTTCTCCATAACAGGCGAGGAAGGTACAGTCACAGTTTACTTCTTATTGACCATTATCTCTCAATTTAGGACTTGATACTCAGAGAAGAACAATATCCCTACTTGTGTTCTTTAATTCATAGTTAGTCCTTATCATAACAGTAGTGTGTGTGATGGTATGACATGATTTGTAGATTGTTAACTTTACCAGAAGATTTATAGCTTCCAAAGGCATAATTGTTTGTGATGATTTATATTCAGTGATTATTTCATTTCAATATAGGAGTTTGTACTGGTTGTTATGTGAATATTATGTGGATCGTTGATGTACATAAATTAAAGAGTAGTACTGTACAAAGGTCACACATCATAGGAAAATTAATGTGGCTCTTTTGTTTTCCTAAGGTGAAAGATTCTTGACAAATTAACAAACATGGCAGAGACATTAACACGAGAGGAAAGATTTGGTTTAATATTCATTCATGTAAAGCCAGATACAGTATCTCGCACCGATCAGTTCAAGTAGAATTTAATCAGTGATATCCGTTATGTTGCCAATTAAATTCTTTTGTTGTGATTTCCTCGCATGAAAAAAATATATGAGTTTTCCTATGATGTACGACCTATGAGACTAACGTGGACAGGTGTTTCTGCTGTAAAAAAAAACTGTAGATTTTGGTAGGTATTAGGTAAAATGACATTAGATAAGACATAACCAGAAAGACAGTTGTTATGAAATGGCTGATATTGGAAGTAACTCATGCAATTGTGTCATTTCTGTGTCGACATTGACCTTGGTTTATGATAGAACTAGTCATGTCAGTGTGTGTGTGTTGGATACATCTTCATGCTGGTATAACACTGTTGGCTTCAGTGTCCCCTCTCACCTCACTACTCAGACAGAATATGTAAATCACCCATGTTAGGGAATTATGTCGCACTGTGTTAAATATTGTGTATAAATACCATGCAGTGTTACATAGCTTGTATTAGTAGGAAGATGTATTAAAGAATTATAAAACTCATTAGGGATGTATTGTATATTGTATGTACTGAAGGTGTTGGAAAAATAACAGAATTTGCAAAGCAGATTATTGATCTGTGCACCTGTGACAATTTGTACATAGGTAATACATATAACAGTTACCAGGGTTGGGTTTCACTAAGACTCTGTATATATTAATTTTGTCCTCAAATTGATGCTAATTGACCTTACAATAGTAACTTATAGTAGAGTGTTGGGTGTAATTTTGATGCACTTTTAGATGTTATTCTTGGGCTGGAGCTGAAGTCAACCTTATGGGTGTGTTTGTACATCTCCAGTTACGAGGTAAATTATAATGTACAGTTTGAACCTTTGTGAATCTAGAACCAATTTAATAACTTGTTTTAGGATGTTAGGATTCCCGGCAGATGTGGTGAGGTCTTTACATGACCTGGCCAGCAAGAGCTAAAGTTATAATGGCTAAAATTAATCATATTCCTCCATTCGTATCTTTTTGTAACCTTCAGTGTTTTTCTTGTTATTTTTATCCTTGCAACCAAAGTTAAGGTAGAGTCCTGTATTTCACGTTAATATAGGAAGCTACCACCATTCTGAGATGTAGTTGTCAGTGTTACGAGTTTCATTACTGTTATTTCTTACCACATGAAAGATAATTGTGTATACAGGTGTGTGAATGTAGGTATTGGTATTATCATAAACATTATTTTACAACTATGGTTTATGTACTCACTTAGTCAACAGTTTTATTTATGTGTAAACATTTTGTAAACAGAAAAATGTAGTGATAATGTGAGCCAACCTCATAATATGTGTGACACCATTTGGGACCAAAATATTTATACTGTACAGTATACTTAACATTTTTATACAAGATTATTTCAAAAAAGGTTCAGTATTGTTATTATATGTTTCTAACAATGCTTTATAATTTATATGTACGTACATTATATATTACAGTGTACTTGTCTGTTGATAATATGTAAAAGTGATTATAAGAAAATGTTTATCCACTCTTTTACTGCTGGGAAGTGGCAAGAACATGGGTCATCCCTGACAACAAAAACTAAACTGCCAGTTATTCAACCATTGTGGTCCTATTCTTGTTTTCCCAGCAGGAGAAGTGGTATTGTTTAGCGAGGTTGAGGATTGGCCACTCCCACCTCACACATCATTATATGTTTAAGAGTGGAATAGAGTGACAGGCCCCTCACTGCAACTCCCATCACACTGACCTGACAGCTACCCATATCCGATTTGACTGCAGGTCTTTTAGTCTTCAGAGGAGAGACAATTCCTTGGACAATAAATCCATCACCGAAATTTTAAATGATGAGGAAGATATTATTAATGTTGTTAATTTGTTTTGTTAACAAATTTGGATATATTATAAATTATAATATGGAGAAAATAGATTAATCTAAAGCATTTCTTATGTAGCCGTCATGCTTCTTTGTTCCCTGCGGTCCCTTGGTGGAAACTGAGCCCCCCCCCCCTCCCGTTCTTTTTCTTTTAAATAATAATAATCCGTTCGCCTCCTCTGCTTTTTTAAATGTTTTAATTGATCGTAATTTTGTTTATTATTATTATCCCCTAATTGTCATACAATCCTGACTGGTCAGTTGGCTCCAGTGCTTGGCTTTGATCCTAAATTCCATAAATCAGTTAATCAATCAACCATACAGTACCTGTTGTGAGCATAAGAGTTAAAACAAGTGTGATGGATAAATTCCCATTTTCCAGATATGATATTAAGGTTACTGACTTACAGGTATTGTTTAAGAATAATAATAATTAACAGCTTTGTTATTCTTATTCTTATGATATTATCTTCACGTGAATACTGTAATTACGTTATTCTGATGTATAAAGAAAAAGATGTCTACCCCTTTTAAATGAAATAAAGTATACTTATATTTTTTGTATGCTTAACAGTCCTTAATGACAAGGAACTCCAGAAAGTTACTTGAGCTGCTTCCTATTTGCACCAACTTCTTGGGGACTAAACCAGAAATGTGGGACTCCGATCCAACTTTCATAGCCGCTCGTGAAGTTGTCTACAAGCTGATGGTGGTAAATGATCACACTGAGAGATGTCTCCCTCACTCAAAACCTCAATGGTCGGCACACCCGGGATGAGGAGCAGCTGCTGTACCTCCTCCACGTCGTGTCTGAGCACCGGAAGTTCTTCTTGGAGCCAAAAAACTCCACTGTGGCGACTGGGTCACAATTAGCCATCCATAATATCTATGTAAACGCAGGAAGGAAGATAGCGAATGTTAAAATAATAATCACGGAAAATATAATTTATTTTTACATGTCAAATTACATATTATTACAACAGTATTAATTAAGTTTATATAAGTAGATTGTGTAGATAAATCATATATAAATATGTAGTTTATTGAAAGATAATTTATTTAGAGTGTTTGTGGTAATGGTAATCTCTACCAACCACTGACCACCACAAGTCATCTGTACTGTATGTATTATTTTTACTCTTATTTTGGTGTTATTATTAATCTCTAAATGATCTGTAATTCATGGAAAAGCTAATCAAATGGTGGGAATGATAAAACAAAAATTTGATTACCTGTGCCCAGAAATGTTTAATATTTTATTATAAGAGTTTTGTTAGGCCACACTTGGACTTCAGTATTCAGACCTGGTGTCCATTACCTAAGGAAAGACAGTGATAAAGTTGTGAAAGTAGAGAGAAGAGTAACAAATTGAGTCCTTATGTTAAGGAATCTCTCTTATTTTACTTTTTTTACTTTTATCTTCTTCGTCACTGATCGGCTCGTTAGCCGCTTGGGCGGTTGGTCATGTCTCTGTTATGCACTGTTGGCAAGTACTGGGCATGTACCGGCTCCTGAATATATCAGAACCTGCTCCAGTGTTGGTCAAGTCTGGCCTTGAATGAGCTCACTTCGGTGTCGTCACAACACTCTCCGGCAGATTGTTCCAAGACTTCACAACTCTCGCTCCGAAAAAATTTGCTCTCACAGTATTCTGGACTTGTGGCTTCTTCAACCTTGAGCTGTGACCCCTTGTGGGGCGGGTGTCCACCAGCTCCAGGTATGTACATTCGACTGAGTAGTGTCTCCTGAGATGTTTATATACAGGTACTGTACTTCGATTAGGTCGTCCCTCGACCGTCTGTAGTATAAGCTAGGTAGTTGCAGGCGCTCCAGTCTCTCTGGGTAACTGAGGTTCCATAGAGCAGGCACCAGTCTGGTGGCCCTCATTTGGACATTTTCAATCAATTGACAATATCTAGCATACTCTAGACGGGGAAGCACCTATCTCTTGAAGATCATGATGAGCGACGGACCGAGAACTTTAGTTCATTGTCTTAACACACTGGGGTGGCCCTCAGCAACTAGTAGAAATATAATTAATATTACAGTTCTGTATAGTTTATAGAAATTAAATATAAACAAATACTATTTCTGTAAGAGGCATCCTGAGTCAATTTATAGTTTCAACCAACCACAGATATTTTTTTTTAAAATGTCATCCGATGGTTTAGACAATTTAAGACACTTTTTTTTGTCACTTAAAAGCTCACTAGCCAATCTGTGTCTCTATCCACAGAGACTGTGAAACCTGCGATGTTTGGTAGGGTCGTAATGTATAACACCATGGCGGTTAGGTTACAGGGGCAGATCCAGGAATATCAAAAGGGGGGGAGTCTAAGAAGTTGTGGGTGGGGAAACATGGCAAGCAGTGAGCCCACCCAGTTAGAGGGGGGTGGAGGGGGGGGGGGTTGTATGCCCTGCCAGAATATTTTTTTAAATCTGACCAATATCAGGGGCATTTTGAGGACATTTTGAAGCCATGCACACTTGATATTAGGAGATATTTTGAAGTCAATAGTAAATACTTTTTACTATACAAAGATATGTGAGTACAAGACCAGACTTGACCAACACTGGAGCAGGTTCAGGTACATTCAGGAGCCGGTACATGCCCAGTACTTGCCAACAGTGCATGACAGAGACGTGACCGATCGCCCAAGCGGCTAACGAGCCGATCAGTGGTGAAGAGGATAAATGTAAAAGTAAAGTACAGGATATTGGAATTTTCTGGTGAAAAGGGGGGGTCCTCACTCCCAGGCCCCCCTACCCTGGATCCGCCCTTGGGTTTGGTAATTTTAGGTCATTTGCGAGGGAAACGTCATAGAAGAAAAGTGTCTTAAAATTTTCTAAACCATTGGATGACGTATTTAAAAAAAAAGCGTGGTTGGTCGAAACTACAAATTGATCGGGTTCTGACTATGATTCTCGTTTTAAGTTTACAATACATGGTTAATACTTAATAATCAATGTTATTAATGTGTATATTATTCGCTACGGTTATTTACATTAAGGTCAATGTGCGGCGCTCAACATTCCGTTGTCCATCTAATGTGACCAAAGGTTGAGTGAGTTATGACCCTTCCTATCTGGTGGGTCTTCGAAGCATTGGGAAAAATGAATAAAAAACGTAATAAATGAACCTACGAACTAATCTACTGACTAGTAAACTGACTTGTTATGGAGAGGATAAAGTAATTATTATAAGGGAAGTACCAGATTCCAACGAGTTGCGCAACTCTCAATTCGCCATCCTCATTTATATACACTATATAATCAATGATATACTGTATATTATACAGTATATCATTGATTATCATTATTTATATTCTTCTTATAAAGTTTCTAATTATTTCCACATTCTTTTCTTATTCTTGTCTTTTTATTTTAGTTATACACCTTAATCATTGGGACGTCTTGGAGATGTTGCACCACCGCCGTGACGTCATCGGTAAACAGTAGTGTCACGGGAGCAGTGTTGCTGGTGTGTGTCTCTGCCTTATTTACCTCCTTTAAGTCAACTCTCCCTCCTACTCCCCAGTGGTCGTCTCCAACATGTCGATAGCAAATATGGAAAGTAAGTAGAGAGTTATTTAAAGCTGGGAATTACTTAAGGAAAAAATAATGATGTACGTACTTCAGGGGTAAAACTTGGTTCGTAACTTAAAAGGTCCAAGAAAAAGATTACAATTTCGTCTAATATATTCAGTCAAATGTCATACAGGCTTATTTAGGTTCATTATTTAGACAGGCAGTACAGGGATATAGATAATTTATAAAACAATTGATTTAACAAAAGGTAGCCCAATACATTTGTTAAAAGTCAAATAACATCGAGATAAATAAATTGGTTGTCCTATTTCTTCAAGCAGGTATTTCGGTACAGTAATCAATAAGACCAACTGTGTGCTTTAACTGCCTACTGTGAGACATTTCACCTTAAAACATGTAATAGAAAAAAAAATGCATGAGCAATATGGTTTGTGTAATGTAAATTTTATAGTGTGGGTGATGCATCTGTCAATCAACATCTAACGCCATATATAAGAGTAGTCTTGGTAATTTGTTTAGGTAGTATTTTAGGTTTGGTTAGGTAAGTTATGTTTGGTTTGGTTAGGTAAGTTATGTTTGGTTGGTTTGGTTTAGTTAGGTAGGATAGTTTGGTTCATTTTGTGAACCATAGCTTGTTGAATGTAACAGTATCTGGTTGCCAAGAGTGATCGTCAATAATTTATCTTTTATAAAATGAATCAAACTGATCTACCTAAGGAAACCTAACCTAACCTTACTAATATTGAAATATACGATGGACATGGCAGGTGGATTTGGGAGTCCTCGCCAGACAAACGATGTATTGTTCGTGTATTTTTCATCAATTTCACAAGTTCCGAAAGAGTTTTGTGTTCTGTGGTTTAAAAGTTGTACAGTAGGTAGTTTAAAGTGCAATTGGTCTGAGTTGGTCACATTCTAACAATCTCTGAGCCATTATATAGAACTAGATACCAGTTTAGTCTCCTTATCCATCATTAGGATGACCAAACCTTTACAGTATCATGTCAGATTTATTACTTTTTTAGGTTAGTTATAAGAATTTTTAGCATTTTCTTTAGTATTTTGAAGATTTAATGGTACATAAGTTCAAAGAGGTAACTATGTATGAAAGGTCTTAATCCTGTTTAATTTATTTTTTTATTTTTCTTCTATGAGTGAACTAAATGTTGGGAAAAGATCTGATGGAAATATTGATTTAACACTTTGAATTGCATCTTACTAAATGATTTTGTTTTATGATGAGGTACCTACTTCACTATTTATCCCAGAGGAGATTTAAGTTTGATTCATGAAAGTAACAAACTGAAAAAAATATCTTCCACAATATATCCTGAACATAAATAATTAGGGTAAATCCATGGTTTGACTACTATTCTTATCTTTACTGTTGTATTAAGTTTTAAATAATGAGACTGAGCTAATAAAACACTTTGCTTTATTGTATTACTATTTAGATTATTGATCTTAGTATACAGTACATCAAATTTATAGTGTAAGAAAAAATGTAGCATTATTTAAGCAATTTTTTCAATTTTTTTTTGTCAGTCTGGTCAAGGTGACCACATTTTGTCCTGAAAAACGTGGTCACCTTGCCTACTGTAACTACTGTATTTAGGAACTTAACTGAGGTCCCTAGTGAAGATAATCATCTAATGGCTTTCATGAGTTAAGTCAAGTTAGGTCTTCCTATTTTTGATGGTGAATTCACTATTGTTTGATGTCCATTATATTTTTGTGTGCCTTGTTCACTGATTATAGCCAGTTTAGTGAGATTTATTCATTGATCCATATCTTAATATTTAATCTAGGTTAAAAAGCTTAGTCAGTCACACCTTCCTAATGCCGAATCCTTCACATTACAGAGCACCTCTTCAGCTTGAAGTTTGCTGCCAAAGATCTTGAACGGCAGTCCAAAAAATGTGAAAAGGAGGAGAAAGGAGAGAAGGTGAAGCTGAAGAAAGCAATAGCGAAGGGAAACATGGATGGCGCTCGTATCCACGCTGAAAATTCCATTCGTAACAAAAGTCAAGCACTCAACTATCTTCGAATGGCTGCTAGAGTTGATGCAGTAGCTTCTCGCGTCCAGACGGCTGTGACACAACGCAAGGTTCGTTAATTAATGGTATTCTTAGTTACTGATGTGCAACTTTTACCTTTCAAATTAACAAGAAGTAAGATGAGCTTTATACATCCAATGAGAGATGATTTGTTTTACTTTCTATCCATATTAAATGTTTTCCCTTCAGTGAGTTGAAAAAAAGCTTTGATTTTGGTGAAATACTGTGCAGACTTTATATCATTCAGTGTACACATGAAACATTTAATTATGAATGCTGTATTTTAGTGTAATGATGCTTTACTTTTTTCATAGTTTACCCTCATTGAAAATATGTGATTAACTCCTAGGTTAACTACAGTGTGATGAACAGTGAACTACACAAAGAACTTTTTGAGTAGTAGATAATAAACACAACTTGCCAGCATATATACACCGAGTCCGTCAGGTTGGAGTACAGTAAAAGATCTACCTCATTTAGTTGACAGTGGAATAAGCTTGATATAGGAGAAACTGATTCAGGCAGTCTCAATATTAACTTAGGCCAGGGTATGAGTGTTTCTTAAAGTTACAATTTTGTTTTTAAATTTTGCTCTCACACAGTGGTAGTGTGTGTATGGTATCACTCACTACTGTCTCTTGAGTTAATTCCCCAGCCTGGGTCAGGTGTGAGAAAGGTGTTAGCCAGTGTGATACTACCAAACATGTCAGATTTTCTTTTGGTACTCCAGTTTCCTCCTGTACCACCACTGGACAATGAAGGTTATAACAAAGAACAGACTGAATGTGTCAATGACTAGTAAGCTGATAAGTGGTGAAATGATAAAGTAATAATATATCCCTCTTTTACTCAAGGTTACTCAGAGCATGGCCGGCGTAGTTAAAAACCTGGATGCAGCAATGAAGAGCATGAACCTGGAGAAGATTTCAGCCCTTATGGACAAGTTTGAACACCAGTTTGAAGACTTGGATGTACAGAGCTCGTATATGGACACTGCCATGAGTCAGACCACTACCACAGCTGTTCCTCAAGATGCTGTTAATGGCCTCATGTCTCAGGTGGCTGATGAAGCTGGGTGAGTTATAAGGAGTTTTTAAATGTCTTTTTTTTGTACAGGGTGATTCATCAAAACCTATGATAAAAATACATGAAGCATTAATATATCATAGTATTGGTGATACTCTGGGGCTACCATGGAGTAAATCACTCCATATTCTATGTATTCATTTCTCTCGGGTAGTTTCCCCTTCACACAAGTCATATACTGTATGTCTGTACCGTACGTTGAATACTGTTCTTATTGGGGGAGGTAGAAGGTGCTCCCTGATCAATATAAGAAGCCCTTCATGATGAAATTCAGTCTGAAGCCTTGTCTTATTAAAGGAGAAAATCTTTCTTCCTTTTGTCCAACGTTCAGTTTCATTCTTAACCTGTACTACTTTAACCCTTTCAGTCCTCATACACGTGGGTCCATAGTCTTACGGACTGATGTTTCCCGGCCTGTTTCAGATATCCTGGTTTGGTTATGAGCCATTAATGATGTCATATGTTACCAGCATTTTTTTTTTAATGTTGACTAATTCATAAGGTCCATTTGATGAAGACTCTAAAATAGACAGAGCTTAGGATTGAAGAGGTTAAGAGTGTTCTTGATATTTTTTGGTGCACCATATAGGTGGAAGGCATGGATTGTACCACTTTATGGTGAGCCATGGGTTGCTGAAATGTAGATTGAAAAGCAGCACATTGGGCATGAGCTTCAATAATTACTTAAAAAAGTTGACTTAAAAGCCCATATAAAGCAGAACCATGAAATTTATTTTTTCCACAGCTTGGAATTGAACATGGAACTACCAACTGGAGGAACATCCACGGTGGGAGTAAGTGCAACACAAGCCAGCCAAGACCAGGATGAGCTGACTCAGAGACTGGCTAAACTTCGTAATGCTTGATTCTTGCAAGAATGCTGGTTGCACCTCAGATTTTTGCTGGAGGGAACCTGGACGCAGGTGATTGTTTGTTCTCAGTATGGTTGCCTTTCTCACATTAGACTGTTGGGTCTTATAAATATATTTAATGAGAAAATTAAGGGTTTACACTTAAGGTGTGTAATATTTAGTAATTTGCTTTATTATTCAATTTGATGAGAAATTATTTGATCTTTACATTTATTTCACTGTTTACTAATTGTACAAAACAGTTAATGGTAGTTACAGAAGTTATAAAAGGTATTCAAAATGTAATTACAGTATGGTGATTAAGAGAAGCGGGTGTGGGGAAGGTGATAATGTCGGTAGGCCGATTGATTCTTGATAATACAGGTACAGTACAGTAATTTTGATTAGATTGATTGAAATTATTTTCTGAAAGAAATGAGTCATATAGTGTTTATGAGGTTATGAACTGGTTCTCAAGTGAAACCTTAATACCCTTGCTATGTTTTGGTCTTTTAAGGTTAACAGCAGCTAACTAAATGTTTTAATGGTAGCAGGTGGGCGTGTGGCAGAATTGGTAATTTAGCCATGTTGAAGTGTTTACTGTTGTAACCTGTGTAAGCACCCATTTTAGTGTTAGGTTAAATGCTGGCCAGGTGCCAACAAATTTTCATCAGTTATAAGGTAACTGCTATAAGCTTATCAAATATAAACTACATCCAGTCATCATGAGATGTCAGGAGTTACAATATATTACAGTGAAGCAAAAATTATTTGCAGTTAACAGTAGGTTATTTCTACCTTTATTGTCAAGCAATGGGAATTACGGCATTAACTATTTTTTTTAATGTTAGCTTATAAGGTTTTATATATACAGTATGTAGGCTACAAATGTGCATTTTAAATAGAATGATGACCTTCATTGCTGCTATTTTTTGAAAATATGGCATTTGCAAAGTGTCAACAGGAACAAGAATGAGGCACAATAATATATATATATTATTTCAAATTCTCTCCTATATTGCAGGGTGGCAAGGTTAAAGTGATTGAAAATATGTGGGACTTATTGTTACTGTACACAACCAGTTCCAGCTGGTGTTGACATCAATCTTGGTTTATAAGGTATTTTTATTTAGTGATTGTTCAGGTCTTACCTTCTCTTTAAATTCTTAAGTTTTATACATTTCCCAATTCACAGTGGCTGGTGTTCAAGGATGAGACAAAGATGGGTAGATGCTTTAATATTTGTTTAAAATTTAAATGATTATGTGAATAAGAGAGCAGGTTCTATTTTTAGTTATGTTAAACTCATTATACAGTATATGCAGATATAAGACTTTATATGACACTTGTATACACAATTAAATAAATTAATTTAGTTTAACAGAGTTTCCTTACTACTTCTCAAGCATGGAAAATGGCCATAAAATAATACAGGTGTACTATAGTTTTTAAATTTAATATTTTCCAATCTCTTGGTTACTCGGTCTTCAGGTACAGTATTTAAAATGTGGAGTTCCTCAAATTCCCTTTTATTGTGTTTACATAAATGTTATTATCTACTTCATAAACTACTAATTGTTGTCATTTCTCTTATGTCATATGGATGTTTCTTGTGTGATATGAATAAGTATGTGTGGGTGTTTGAGGTTATCAATCTTGCCCTTTCCAGGTGTTTGTTATACTTGCCTGGCATCCCTCTCACTTCATCAACCCCACACAATAAGGGATACAGCTAAAAGATTAAGAAATTGTTTATAGAATTCATACAATTTTCCACTAAATCAAGCTACCCCAGGACGTGGGCATTTTAGTTTTGTTGCCAAGTATATAATGAAATGGCAAAGCAATTAACTTTTTTATTATAAATAAGTATAAATTGTCAGTTACACCTTCAAATGTTCGACAATAGCGAATGAAAGATATACAGGTACAAAAGCTACCTTGTTATATATCACGAATGACATACAAAGATACTTATTATAGTTGTAAATGCTAAATTATCCACTCATTTCCCTCACACAAATGTAGATTAATCTTATGAATGTAGGAGAAATCCTGGGGCACTGGATGTTAAGGTAACTTTGTCTTCTGCCATATGAAAAATAAAGATAAGTTTTATTGTATATATACCTCCCCCCACAAATATACCTCTAGATAAAAAAAATCATATAAAAATATCTTTGCTGTTACACTAGCCATGGTTAAGAATCTTTACTAAAGGCAAAGGCAGATAACTTGCTCAGCCCTGAACCTTTTGTCTTTTTTTCCATAGGAGATTCTTCAGTAGATTCCTCTCTTTTACGCTTCTTGTCATCATCACTGAGCAGTGTTTGAGCTGTAATTCCAGCAGCTAAAGACTTGTATTTCTGGAAAAATAAAAGGTTAAATAATTTTATAATTATGCAGTTAAACATCAAGTATCCATTTTTACCTTACCCTCACCAACTTTGGTTTTGAGTATCCGTTTTCCCATTAGACTCGGCCCTTGCCACTCACAGGAGAATTCTAGAACATAACCACTTCAGATAGCACGGGATCACTGTACAGTATATTCTCTTCCCTCACTACAATTCCCTCCACTACACAGAATCCTTCATCTCTACATTACTATAAATATTACCAAATTAAATATTCTCTCCCACATTACTGAGTACAATTATAACTCCCTTTCCTATCTCCCCTAAATCTAACCCACAAAATTCTTTCTTCCTCCTTCTTTTCATACCATCTCCTGCATTACTTACTTGTTTGGTATCATTATCCACATCTTTGAACATTAGTGCAGCCTTTGCCAGAAGGTTGTTTTCAGTAGCATCAGGGTACTGTAACTTGAAACTTTCCTCATTGTCTGCCAGCCACAACTGGAGGGCCGATTGCTTTTTGACTGCAGGCTGTGCTGACGTCTCTTTTTTCTTGAAAGGATTGCTAGGTTGTGTCTTTGGTGAGGAAGCTGTTGTGTTTTCTGACTGGTTTTCCTTGTCTACAGTTGCTGGAAGTGCTTCCTGGGCCTTTTTCTTTAGTGTAGTCTGTATACTCTAGAATGACCACAATAATTAGGTTTCTGTCAAGTACCAGGAGGGTAAAATTCCCGAGTAATTTATTGGTTAGAATGTGTACTCGTATAGAACATCTATAAATAAGTAACAATGTGTGAGCTTGTACAAATAAAGAGGTTGTGTTGACACTAGAAACACTGCCATGATGAATTAGTAAGAAATGAAAGGGAAGCTTCCAGTATGATGATTATACAAGAAGCTTCCCTTTCATCTCCCATTTCCTACTAATGGTCCCATACCTGTACCTTTAATTCATACTCGGTTTTAAATGAAGTTATCATCTTGCTGTCATTACAACTAAGACATGAACCAAGAAATTTCTGGATAACATACCTGCAGCTTCTTCACTATTGGTTTCAGTACAGGACTACCTTCTGCTTTCTTCCGAGATTTCCTGAACTGGTCAATGACATCAATGCCCCGTTTGGAACTCTGGAAACCTGATGTTGGCGTTACACTCTTTTTGAAGGGATTTTTTGAAGATTGTGAAAACAAATCTCCCAGACTAATTGTGTTGCTATCTTTGCGAATTGCTGCTGCCAGAAGAGGGTTGTCTAAGCCTGAGGGAAAAAATCCAGCATATCATCATAGCTTTTATTAAACCAAGAAAATGAGGTGTTGCACTAAATTGTACCATAATAATCTTAGGAACTTAACAAAATTCATAAATCCAGCAGGTTTTCAGCTCAACTGGTGCTATATATCTGAGGTTACACTGTAATTACCTTATATTAAAGGAAATGCAATAATATGGGCTTACACGTTAAATTATTTTAGTTTTTAAATTTTAAGGGGATCAGAATGCAGGAAAAACTTGTCACACAATGTTTTAACCTGTTTGTGTTTAACCCTTTCATTGTGGATATGCCACATATGGATTAGAATCCTATCATGTGCCAAAAGTGTTGCTGGTTTAAATATATGAGCACATTTAATAAAGTAGCATGGTGTTGCTGGGTGAACTCACTTTGATTATGAACTTCTTCCTGGTAGTGACTGTGGGCCAATTCTTCTTCATCCTCCTCCTCTTCCTCACGTCTTGCTCGTATCCTCCTTATACCACCACCATACCTGTAACATGACTAACACATTAAAAGCCCTGATAGGACACTTTATATCCAGGAGATAATTTTTCTTGGTCTCAAATATATTACCATTAAATAAAGGATTATGCAGACACATTCACTGATTAGGTGTGTGGATGAGTTTTTAAGTCCTAAACACCAGTAAACCTCTCATTAAACAGGCCCTCGGGTAGATTAAGTGACGGAGCTGTACTAGCCCATAGCCAAGTGTGACAGATGGCATTAATAACACTGCCACTCAGCTAATAACAACACTTGCTTCATATTCCCCCTTAAATATTTGTTGGTATAAGCTCTCACCCTAGTCAGTTGAAGTTAGCACAAGCAGGTGGATTACCTTCAAGTTAGAGAACAGTGTTCATAGCAGTGTAGTGTTGCAAGAAAAATTCACCATACTTTACAATACCAGGCAAGCAACTTGAATTTACATTTGCAAGTCATCAACCACTGGTGTCTGAGACTTTGATTCTCTCTCTAACTCCTCTTCCATTTTGGCTGCAGCAATTTCCCCCAACCGCTCAGCAAGTTGTAGACGGCGAAGCTTTCCTGCATATTTTATTGCAAGTTCTACAGTGTGGTAGGATGGCATCAACTGACAAACTTCAAGTGCTCGAGAGTCTCTTTCTGAGCGGCACGCCAGCTGAAATTAAGTACACGGACAGTATATTAGACTTCTTTCATTCAATTTAAATTTATTAATTGTTATACAGTTATACTACTTGAGAATAAGTTGTCTGGGAAGTGAAGGTGGTAAGAGTGTAGTTCCAGCCACAAAGCCTTCTACAATTTGCTGTATTTACACTTCCTCTAAACGACCATCTTCCAGTTTGATTGAGTCACCACAAATTAATTGGATAAATTTAACTCCTATAAAGATCCATCACTTTACATTAATCTACACTAAAATAAATTTTCCGCACCTCTGACCACAGTGTTAACTTGTCTAAATTATTAATAAATTTACAAGTCCAAAAATGTGGTTCTTCCTCCTATGTTGTATGATTGGCAAATTCTGTGATTCTTTGTACCAATCCTGTTTCTAAATCACTATTAAAGATTATAAGTTCAAGGATTAATCTTCCTGGTACCCTAATTGTTACAACTAAAGTATTAGTTCTAAAAGTATCTAGCATTAACCATACAAGTGTGGAAAATGGCCTTAAAAGGTGATGATAAAGAGTCAGTAGGTTATCAAAGGAAACACACACTGGTTGACTTGATACTCACAGCAAATAGTTTGATCATGGCTTCCTTCATGATTTTATCAGCCTGACTCTTGCTGTCATCCATTTCATATCCTTGAGTATTGAGGCGTGCGAGTGTGTTGAGCAGGAGACCTGTTCGAACAGCCTTTTCCTCCAACTCGCTTTTCTCTGTCTCCAACTCACACAATGGTATCTGCCAATGATTGTCAAAAAGGATAAATTATGTGACTAAACGGAAATTTTGTTTTGTAAAACAACCACATATTCTTGATAGAGAAGGAATTGACTATAAGTTTCCTTGTGTTATTTCACTTAACGTCGCATTTCTCAAGAACACGTCTGACATATAGTGAGGCATACCTATATTCATAAGTTACAGTACCTGCATATTGAGGATGGACACATGAGGTTTGGGCAAGACTGGAGGGTAACGGATGCCTTTACATAATATGCAGCGTAAGTTTCCCTGTGTTTCGCTGGCCCCCAGCAGGAAGTAGTGATCACTTTTGCCACGAGTCTGGAAGGCAAGAATAGTTTATTAGTAACATAAGGAATAACCAACAAAGGTTTATGTAAATGCATGCATTAACATGTACAGTACATCCATCTACTCATATTTTGATAATAATCTCGTTCAAGTCTATTACTGCTGTAATATGACTATAAAATTTCACCACCTTCCCCTTCTTAATAATCCATCTAATTCCTTTTTTTTCATATTTCTGTATATTAAACCACTTTCCTTACATTACCCATGATTCATATGCTGTACAGTTAACTACAAAATGTGTAAATTACTCACATGAGATTTGGTATCGAGAATACTCGTCCAGTTATATCCATATTTCAAGTGCATGATGCGTACCATCCCAGCACTGTCCATAATGATTGGGGTTCCTTCATCTGAGAACCCTGCCCAAGCCAAGAAAGACCGGGGAGAGAGAGGTACTGGACACGCCAGTGGGACTGGGTGACGACCACCACTCACACTAAGCACATTACTCACCAAGTGTTGATCACCTGAAACTCCTATGGAAAAACAAAACATTATTAACAATTTTCAGCAACTGTTACTCTTATTGATGTATTTATTTACATTTTTTAAGTTGATAATTTCAGGGAATACATTCGGTCTATATCAACCATATCCTTCCAGGATATGCAAGATTGACATCTTCTGAATGAACTATACAGGTTACTGGTCTCCTTTGTGATTAATACTGAACCAAGTGAATTATTTGAAGGAATAATATATATTTTTTTGTATTTTATAAATGAATCGGAACAAAATGTAGAGAATCTAAAATCATGCTGTGTACAACATGAGTACAGTACAGTATCTATTACCCATGCCATTGTGGAATATAAGCATTAGCTGATCTTCAGAGCCGACTATACAAACAACTGGGCCAGGTATGCTGATAAGGTCTCTCTGTATGCCAGAAGTGGAGAAGATGCGGAGATTCCTTCGATCTGTAGCAACGGCCACCCAATCTGTCCCAAGGCAAACGGCCAGAATATCTTCCTCCTCGGGCATATCAACGTACCACTCTTTGTTAGAGCCCCAGGCAGAGAAATGGTGCACGACCAATTTACTGGGAGAAGAACACAACATTAATATCGGCTCAACCAACACACATGAAAATTTACTAAGTTAAATTTGTTTTTTTTAAGGAGTTAGAGGTCTCAGATTACTAAAGAATAATCACAAGCAAGAGATGTCAAGGTAACCCAAGGGGCCTTCCACACAACCCTAAGATCTTTCTCAGAGATGCTTCACCTTCTACCATGAGATCACTGCTTCACGAATGCATCTTACATAAGTTTCCGAAAATATCAGGCAAATTAACTACAAAACAAATGTAATTACTACTTTAATATTGTCACTCCCAATATTATGGTGATTGAGCATTACTGACAAATGAATAACAGCATTCCATCTGCTGGTTGTCTCGTGATGATATAAGACAAAACATCTCCTGTATGGTTCCTTTCTATGAGCCATGACTGTCTTTGTCCTGACTCTCTCAAAAAGAACCCTTCTATAGCTTGATATTTACAGCACGTGGCAGTCTATTGAACACGTCCCAAGACCAACCAAGCATGGGGGGAGGTGGAAGGAGAGTCAAACATGGGCATGACAACTCTATACTCATTAAACGCATATCTCATCACCAACCATCTAACTCCGTTCAATTATGTCATAAAAAAAAACAAAGGTTGAGAGGATGTACTCAATTGCACTATTTAGTGAATTTGTTACACACGGTAAAAAAGAAGAAAAAAGTTGGGAATTTTGTCATCGTGAAGTAACTATGGTACAGTAATTATCACACAACCATAATGTAGAAGTTTATAACTGAAACAAGCATGTCATCAAAGCTCAAACCTAGTACAAAGTCTTAACTATAAGCCAGTTCTATCTTAATGAACAAACCACACCCACATCTCACCTTACACTCCCTTCCAAACTAACACATTCTTTCTTTTTTCCCATTTATCTGATTAAACCTGCAAACAATATACTGGGTATTTCGTAAAACATCACCTCGAGATTTCAATACTGGGGGCCCCCCAAATTCGTGGATGACACCCTGGATGTACCCAAGAATGTCTGTGGGTAGTTTTAAAGTTGCCGGCATTTTCGCGGCTGGGACAGGGAGCCATTCGTTCTAGAGACAGTAATTTCCTTTACCTGTATTGTAAATATGTGTGTGTAGACATGCACAAAAAACACGTACAAATGAATAATTGGAAAAATCCTCTCACAAATAACCAGAAACAAATTTATTAAAAATGTGAGTCTACCCTCAAGTCCGTGTTTTATTGCTTTAATAATAAAGTACGGACTTGAGGAAAGGTAGTCACATTTTTAATAAAATTGTTTATGACTATTTGTGAAAGCTTTTCCCTTTACAGCTCCTCCCCGACTTACGACCTGCCTCAGTCGTGCCAATATTTTGTCAAATTACGTATTTTCGAGTTCCAACGTCAGTACACAGACAAAATTTCCGTTTGTAATTCACTTTAAAATGGCTGGCAAGCTTAAAAGTGAGAGTTTTGTGGTGCTGAGAAGAAAAAGAGCCACCCATTTTAGATTTTCTATGAATTATTTAAGCATTTCCGACTTACGACCTGGATTTGGGTCCCTAAGTCGGGGAGGAGCTGTATTATTTATTTGTACTGTATGTGTTTTGTGTCTACACACACACACACACACCCCTGAAAATGTGAATTACACGAAAGCGCTTGGGAACTTCGTGTTTTCTTCTTTCCTTGTTATCAGCATATATATATATATATATATATATATATATATATATATATATATATATATATATATATATATATATATATATATATATATATATATAGAAATAATTGTCATAAGGGCAAACACATAAAGGGAATATACCTTTCTTTGTACACAAGTAAAATGCACCCCGCCAGCAAACGGATTTGGTGATTCGTGACCATTTGAGACCCTAACCCCTGCGAATTTGGAGGGCCCCTTGTACCCCCTAATATGCAACAATTAATTTTTTCCATCTGCTATCTCACATTACCAAATTCATATGCCAAGCCTTCAAAAGTGATCTCACACACTATGAACTCTAAAGCAACCTCTTACCTACAGTGTCTCAGTCCTCCAGGAATTGTAGCCTGTGAGTGACCAAACCATTCTATCACTATCTTCTATAACCCCACTTTTCTCCTTTACACTTTTCCCTCTCCCAATACCCCTTCTAAATTGTCCCTTTACACACTCTTTATCATCACTTCCTCTTGCATTCTTCTCACATCTTATAAATCATCTCTCTATATATTCCACCACCACATAAGCTACACCGTTTTCTCTGGCATTACAAATATCCCATAAACCTTGCCCTTTACCTCTTTTATTCTGGTGACCCTCACAGGTACAGTAGCTAAAAAAAACTTCTGTGCATACTTTGTGGGAAACAATATGAGACCATGGACGATAAATTTTGGAATATGAGGGCTGTCACTAGTCACACGTAAAATTTCGGAGCATATCTACTCCCACCTGCACAGATAGTTTTTTAGTACGTTTCCCGAGTGTGTCATTTCTCTAACTTGAATTTTAGCCTTTTTTCTGTGTTCAAGCCTGTGTTTTACCCCTATTCATTGTGGTATATTACACAGTGTCCAAATATATACAGAATATGTCAGTTTTATTGTACTACTTGATAAACTAATCAAGTTTGTTTTAGTAAACCTCCATATGGGTGAGATAATTTATGGACAATCTGTATACCAACTTCCAGTTCCTTCTTCAAACACAAGCTTACCGGTACATTCATTTCTTAATGGATATATTCAAGGTCTCTAATCACACTCTTCCCAGGCACAGTTCTCTCCCTAATTTAACTCTCCGTCTTACTATGCTTGCTCAGTTACACTCACAAATACTTGATAATCTTAACCCTTTTCAATCCTTCATTATAGTCATACAATCTAATTACATCGCATTTTTTTATAAACTTTACTCATCAGTCAAAGGTTCATACTATAACACATGTATGAGTATAGATATAAGACCAAGTTATGACTAGCTTGGTGACATACCTAGGTTGGTCTTCTTGTGATTCACATGCCATGGCCAGTGCTTGAGATGACAGAGCTGCCATCGTGTGCCCTAAACTGTTGTTAAGGTGCAGAGCGTGGTGCACTGAAGTGTCATGGAACTCGACGTCAATGCTATTCTCATCCTCACTTGAGTATTGTCGTACGATGCCCACGTTGTTCCACAGCTGGAGGATACCTCACTGTACTAGAGCTATTTTTTCAGAGGCATTTAATAATGAATTAAGAAGACTCTTCCTATATAATCCTTATATCCCTATATAATATATTGTACCACCAGTAACAAAACTTTAAATATTCTCAATTCCTTCAGTTGACACATAAAAAATATATAGTACGTAATATACTTTTCTTGTTAAGCTACAAAAAGTAATAAAACTAATATTTCTTTTGTCATCAGCCTCTGTGGCAAGGACTTTTTCCTTCATCTGTAAAAGATTTGGTTTTGGACATGTTCAAAACTACATCAATCAACCTCCTGTTCTGCTACACTCTAGGGTGGTCTGAACCAAGATGCAAACACACCCATTTTCCCCTAAAATACAGTGAATTCCATAATGCAAAGGTTTTATTACTATAAACATGTGCCTAAAACACAATGCACCATGTACTGTTCCAAATGAACATAATATTCAGCTAGTTTACCCAATAAAACAATGAACTTACCATGTATCTATCATTAAGGTATTCAGGAGACATGCCAGGCTGGAAAGGCTTCTGCAGCTCGGGCATTTTCATCATAGGTACCACTGGAGCCACATCTTTTGAGGTTAAAATGCTTGCTGAGTCATCATCAGGTGGTTTTGTACCTATAAGTATGAAGTCTATTTTAAGTACAATAAACAATCTTAAATAAACAATACTACAGACCATGAAAATAAAAGTGTGGAAATAGAGACAAACTCAATTGGGAAATGGCAAAGTCATGTACCAATGACCTTGTTAGAATGAGACAAGTTAGACATGTTAACTAACACACATACTAAGGTCAGCTCATTCTGTTTTATGCCCTTGTAATCTGGACAGGAATAGACTTGCCTCTGTGCTACTGGTTGAGTAGGTAAATAGTGAAGTACCGGTAGTTACTCAATAGGTGACTGACTGTGTTAGGTTATGGGCAGATTACAGACTTGGCCTCAGTGTCACCTGTAGGCTACTTTACTTAAATTATATCTCAAATCAAACTGTGTGAATGAAAATGATCAACATTCAACAATAATAAATCAACTTACCAAAATCAACCTTCAATTCACTGTCTTTAGGAATGCCAAGGTAAGTGCCTTCCTCATCATCTGCAAACCCTAACTGAGACTTGATCTTCGAAATGGAGAACTCGTCATCATCCTCCTCCATGTCCACATCCAGTGGCGGGAAGTCGCCCCCACCGGTCGCCCCATTTTCTACACCAGCATTACTGTCTGTGTTGATCTGAGGGATGACATCGTGTGCCCATTATATGCCAATAAATTATCTACTTTAATGTACTAATTTTACCACATTGCCACCACCCACTCGTATATCGGGTACAATATTTTCATCGTCTCGTGAAATTGTACTGAAAACCATTTGGCAACTTCATTTTACAGACAGAGAAGTTTTGATGAGACAAACAAATGCTTACCGCAGCAGACGTGTTATCTCCATACGTAACATTCTCCACCGTCCCAAACTGTCCATCAATGTCAACAAACGCCAGCTCCTTCTTCCCGGTAGGATTCCATGCCAGGCCACACACTGCAAGAGCCTTGGGGTGCTTCTCCGTCATTACTGTCTGGTAAGTGGTCGTGTTCCAGACAATAATAACACCATCAAGACAAGCAGCAGCTATGAATCGTCCACAAGGCGAGACTGTGGTCACCGATACTGTCTGAAAAATTACTTTATCTGTGCATTGGTTTAATCACCATAACTGCTGTTTCAAATTCCACAAGCAGGATTTTGCAGTACATGTATTTAGTGCTCAGTTGCCTTCATTCAACTGCTTAATTTTTATAAAAGTTTCTTTCTTAAAGCTTTTTATTAAGTGACCCAATTACTAAGTCATTATAAAACAAAAATCACCATGGCTCACCCCTTTAATGGATTCATCGGACAACTGATGTACCACTTGCCAAGACGAGCGATCATATAAATGTACTTTACTGTCGACTGGGACAAGAAGATGGTGACCATTTGGCGTCCAAGTCAGACGACATAATGTGTGTGAGGAGGATAAGTTGTTGGTCTTGGGCAGAAGGTTCCACGACACAACAACAGAAGTAGTTTTGAGATCCCACACACGGATGCTGCCGTCACATGATGATGAAGCCAGATACTCCCCTGGAAGTTAAATTACAATATTATATAGATGACAAGAAGTATATTTTCCTTAATTTCACACTGTCTGTAGGAAAGATAAACTCAAGACTATATATTTTTTCAACGTTTACAGCCATTAGGTCCCCAATCTTAAGTATAGTAACACTTATTGCGCCATCTTTACCAACACTTCAGTCCAATATCCCACAACTTACATCACTAATCACTGACATAACATAAACTTTCTACTGTAGATAGAATACAATGTAAGTGATAATCACCCTTGGGGTCTATAGCAACAGAGAGCACTGGAGCTTGATGTCCTGTGAAGACTGTGTCCTTGTAGGCCTGTGGGTCATGGACACGGATGGTCATGTCACTGGCAAGACAAACACCTAAATTATCTTAAGAAATTTGGTTGTGTTTTGAAAAGTAAGAAAAGAAAGAATTAAATTTTACCCACCAAAGAGTAAATTATCTAGAAAATATAATGAGGATTTACTGTAATATATTTCTCATTTTCACCCAGTCAGTTTTAGATATCAACTCTTTAATTTGGTTACAATCTGTTATTCTGTTAAAACCAATAAGATCTCTGCCCCCTCACAACATACCTGCCAGCACAAGCCACCCTCTTGTTGTCCTTGCTTACAACAATCTGTGTTGGTGGAGCAGTAAACCGTGTGATAATGCCATCTGGCGAACCCTCATCCATCGTATACGCCTGAACAACATTACTGTCCGTGCCAACCAGGAAATGGCCATCCTGGAAAAATATAAACACCGAACTTTAGACATGAGTCCCATAAGACAATGATAACAGTAAATTTAAGATGTACACAAGTTAGTGTTACAAAGGAATTTAATAAACAACTCCCACATATGCTGCCTGTTTTATGTCCTTTCTATGGAGAGTCGGTGACCTTTATCCTGCCACCAAGGGTTTAAAAGACTTGCTGTATCATAATAATTACACAAAACTAATAAATAATACAAGCAACACTACCTCACATCCAAGTAAAAAGGTACAAATCTACTTACTCATTTACCAGTTGCTACATCAGGGTACTTAAAACACTGTACAGTATACACATTAGGTCCTCACCCTGTAGGCAACAGCTGAGGCACACTCGGCCACCACGTGTGTTTTACAGTCATCATCGTCGAGTCCTTCAAATATACGCACCTCGCCATCAGTCCCACACGTTATCATGTATCTGAAAAGTTAAATAAGGTTGGAAGGGCACAATATGAACTAACAGTGGATGAGACACCTCATTCAGTTCACATTGGAACAAGCGTACTGTACCATAATATGCTTATTGGCAACTATAATCTGACTGTTAAAACTGCGATTAATCTTTAACACAGACTTAAAGGTTATGGAAGGCGGCACTGACACATCACATGAGACATGGACGAAGGTTGGAATATACCAAAACCTCGGACTTCACTAAATACAAACATCCCTCAACTTTCTCCCCATAAGAGTAACTGATTGATGTTGAGTTTGTGTCCCTCTAGAAGTAAAACAAAGAACAAAATGGAGCCAGTAGCTACAGTACTTGCAGACAGTACATGAGAGATATGACCAACTGCCCACACTGCTAAGACTGATCAGTGGTGAAGAGGATAAAGTAAATAATGGTGGATCACATGAACGTTCGGCATCTCAGCTTATCTCACCTGATACTTTCCAGCATCCATTCATACATACAAACACTTCCAATGAGCATTATAAGTCTAACCATAGATCAGATGAAACATGGCATCACTAACAAGGGGTCTTTATTTACAGAAGGAAAAAAAAAGTGCAATTACTTCTCCAGATTTAGATTATTCTTGGGATAATAAATAGGTATTGTTCTTTAAGAGAATTTTTGTTAGGTAGCAAGTTAACCGGGACCCTCTCATAGACTATTACAACCTCATTACACTAAAGTATTCTTTGTAAATGAGATTGAATTCAGTAATTGATGATCAGTGTCATCATCCTCGATCAATCAGAATGAATACCAGACAAATAGCAAAAGAAATATTACGTGACTGGACATTAAAACCAAAATACCAAACACCATCCATTAATGAGTTTGTTTCTGCTAAAATCATTCTTCACTCATAGGCTACAGTGAAGATTCCCCTTCTTAAGTAATTTCAGCCTTTTTTTTTATTTTCATTTCATTTCCATTAACAGATGATAAATCCCAGTAGTAAATGTCTCCCAACAACATAAATACAATGACCTTCCCGGTGACCATGCTTAACACAGAACGTAATTTAGTCACTACAAAAACTTAACCATGCGGCTTTTGAAAAACTACACTACCCCTGGAGAATGACCTAACAACTCTCACAGGTCCAGATACACTATTTGGGGTCCAGCTACAGTTTTAGGTTCAGCCAGCTTTAGGGTCCAGCTAGTTTGGGGTCCAGCTACATTGTTTGAGATTCAGCTAAAACATGTTGCCTCACCTGCCGTCATCTGTGTAGCAAATATCGGTGTGGCCTTCAAAATGGGCGAACCGCGTAGGTCTCATCTTCTTAATCTGCATTGTCCAATACCTCTTATCATCGACTACACGACTATACTGTATAATGTAAGAGGTCTTGGTGAAGGAGGAATTATCAGCTGACTTAGCCCGCCAAAGGTTGAACAAAATTTGATCAAATGTGTATTGGTTTCTCCATTTTTGTATTTATTAATTTCTAACACTCTAGAAATATAATAAAATGCATTCATGAATAAAAATTATATTTATTTTTCTTTAATATTTTCGCTATTTATATTTTTTTCATTAGATACAATTAATAAAGATAATAGTTTTTCCATTACGGGGATCTCCTAGTATCATGACGTCAGAGAAACTAGTCCATGTTTTAACTCTTAAAAACAATTATATAAATGATGCAAACTGTCGAACAACACTAAATATCACAATTAATATAGTTATAAAGACCATTGAACTGAATTATGTCATCAAAATTCTGTATATAAGAGGTTGTTTACAAAATAATGTTTAGTGACGTCACGAGGATGAATGACGAGGACCGAGGCCATTTTCGACCATTCAGTGAGGTGTTTGACTACGGTGAAAACACAACTACATATCTTCCCGCTCCTGCTGCTTACATTCGTGCAAATAACTATATATATAACACAGTGGAAAAGGAAGTGTTTTTAAAGGTAATTATTAGAATATTTGAGGCAGGGATCATGGTAATAACCTTTCGTGGAGGAAAGTAGGGAGTGAAAATAGTGGTTGTAGGCAAGTTGGGGCGTTTTAAAGGCAATATGGTCGAAGAGCTGTGTGATTCATGGTGTGGCCTTGGATGATTTATGGAGTGCTAGTGTACAACACGTGTCTCCTCATGGACGTGATGTGGTACTAAAAGGAATTGCAGTGGGTACAGATGAGGCTTGGGTGAGTAGAAGAGAGGTAGGCAGCAGCTCTCACTCTTCACTCCCAAGATGATGTCTTATGGCGCTGCAAGATGGTCTTTCCTCTCACTCCCGTCTCCCTAACTCCTCATTCACTACATTGGTCTCTGTATATTTGTGGTTATATAAGTGGGTGTATTTTCCGGGTAATAACTGTGTGAGTGAGTATGTATATGTTATGTGCTGTATGTGATTACGTATCCCTGTATTGTGTATTGATACTGTATTTAATGTGTGTTTTCATAGGAATTAGAACGTATTAGAGGGTTTTGGTTATTACAGCATGGGGAGGGGATAATCTTGTTATTAAATCACACCTTTAAGAATTATTTGATAAGAAATAATTGAGCAGAAATATATACAGTTCAGTGTGTCTACATAAGGTTTAATGTGTACACAACAATCCAGGAACAGGGTTAGAAAAACATGACTTTGGTTTAATAAGCAGTAACCAGACACTTGATGGCCTTAACCAACATTACCGTACACCATTGTCTGATTTTGGCATGAAGTGGGTATTTAATTCCTGGTATATAAAATTAGTCCATTATTATTATTATTTTTTAGATTTTTAACGGCACTGAAGGTTGAATACAATTACTGGTTGTTAAGTAAATTAAAAGTTGTTTTTCTATGTGTTTGTGCATTAAATGTTTCCATGGAGATTAGAAACCGTCACTTATTGCACGTGATAATTAAATACCTTAATGCTAACCTAACACACTTATCTTACTCTTAATTCAGTATCAGGGTGTTTAAGTCATCAGGTGATATAAGAGGGGGTCCCTAGTCATCATGTGATCCAAATTCCCGACCCACTCCCCCAGAGAAGCCATTATGAATGATGTGAAAGAATCATCAATAATTGCAAAGGGTGAAATAAACATCTGATGGCTTTATTGGGTATCCTTGGCCAAATTGCTTAACTGTTTACTATTGTTGTATACCTGTACTATCTATCTACACTGTATACCAGCAATGTCAATACACATACTGAACTATAAACCTGTATGATAATTTTACTGGATAAATATTGTTATAGTATGACATAGACAAAATTGTTCTTCCACCTAACAATGTCCTATATCCGATCTAGGAAATCGAGAATACAGTATTAAGTAACTTGTTCCATTAACCTAACCTACAAAACTGTACAGGTATTTCCTTAGCAGTTATATTATGTATTTATATTATGTATTCCAAATTGGTGTTACCTACAGAAATATTTCTTTCCTTAGCAAAACATTTAAATGTGCTATATATCCTTTGCTGTGGGGTCTTTCTTGATTAGCTAGCTATTGCATTTAGATCACATGAACATTAGCCCTCCTGCTTATTTCATCTAAAGATTAATCAATTTAATCTAACACAAAATAATCTAATCTATCTTAACCCCTCCTCACCCTCCAGGCAGCATTAGGGTGTTTAATAAGGAGAAATAAAATTAATCATTTTTATGTAGAATATTTACCCGATATTATACAGGTACAGTAGTATGTACCTCTCTGATGGCAAGCTTAGAACAGGAAACAAACTGAATTCAGGAATTTTCATATTTTTGGGAAATGATTGGCCTAGAATATATATTAAGTGTTAAAGAAAATATGGAAACATATGTAGAGGGTTAGAGTATGTGGTCCCAAAATGATATACAAGTGTTTTGTTGGTAAAAGCACATTTATAAAGAGTTAAAGAAAACTAAGTTAGTATGAAAGGTGTACGGTATGTATAAAAAACTATTGATTTAGGTATTTAGATGTAACTTGCTACTTACGACTGTTTATCTGTCTTCTGTCACATCTTGTAGGCTCCCCACACCCACAGAGGGAAGGACATTTGACAATAGAAGCCAAGCTTACCTCCTCACTTATACAATAAGAAGGGCTGAACACTGGCATAACTTCCATTTGTTTCTCTTGCACTCCCAGCCCCACTAACCAACTGACATGGTGACATTCCCAGATGCTTTTGTCAACACCTCAGCATCTGTCAATGATACAAACAAATTATAACCAGGGTTTTCATTGAAATAAAAGATAACAAGATTAAAACAAATTGTATCTTCAAAATGTAAATCTGTGAATGTGTGGCCTTCTCACATCCCAGTTTCTTCACATACAAATTTTACAAGTTGAAACTATACTCAGGTTAAAATGACCAGAGTGCAACTTTAAGAAAATTACATTCCCAGTCTAGGCACATTACAGGCCCCAGTGTTGAAATCTCCAGGTCACTAATGTGTGACTAGTACTAAATTAGATACAGTACTGTATATCTTTCCCTGCCATCAACCATGACCTTCAATAGGGCAGAGGAGTCTTGCCACAGTATCCACCACCTGAAACACTGCGCAGTCATGTGTCAACTACTCATGTGTCAACGCAGTAAGCCAGGGTCACATGGTATCAGTTAACATCTCACTTAAGCATTCCCAAGGGAAGGGAGGTGGGAAGGAATATGTAGTCGGCCAATCTGTGTTTCGCTACAAGCTGGAATATCATAATCACTAACACATGTTCAGTCTAGTTGACTTCAGTTACCCCAAAACCAACTAGAAAAGAAACAAAGAACTTCACATGGCAGCTCAGCTTGTACTCCTTGTAGGTGATTATGTTACCCGACCATTGTATGGAAATATCCTCACTGTACATTCTTTTTTCTGACCTCACAACTTTGGTCAGGCCTCAGTAAGGCATCTGATAGTGGAAGTTTATGCTTCAGGTCCAGCCTTGTCCATCCTGGTTAATATGGGGAGTCCTACCATGCACACCAGTGATACAGTCAATTTGCTAGAGTTTAATTTCTGTATTTATTGTACAACATGTTGTATAAGCTCTGATTTTAGGTTTGGTGTTAGAACAAAACTCACTGTTGCCAAGAGTGAACTAGATGAGCAACATGGGTCATCTGTAAACTAGACTCCTCCAGTTAGCTACAGTCCATATCCATGAAAGGAATACACTTAGGCCTAGAATTTGGACCCTGCTTTATTAAAAAAAATTATTTGTCTAAACTAAAAATGGGTTTTAAAAACAATGGCCCAAAGAAATTTGACCATCCTACCTATCCTGTGTCCTTATGTGGGCAGATCCCTAATGCATCACCATGAAATTCTCCAGATAATTTGGATGTATTTATTACCTTGTATGAGTATTTAGTCCTATTATATATATATATATATATATATATATATATATATATATATATATATATATATATATATATATATATATATATATATATATATATATATATATATATATATGATACACTGCACTTGTCCAACTGGACTTTTTTTCCTTCTTCAGAGAGTTGTGAGGTGGAGGAACATAGCCAGCAGAGGTCCTGGAGGATGGCGGGAGGAACATCGTTGTGTCTACTTGTGTCACCACGACATGGCTGATTGCCTCCAAACTGTACTTTTGGTTTAATTATTGTTTGTAACAAGCTCAGTGTGATAGTGATACCATTGTGAGTTATCTTCTTGTTCTGTGACATCCTAAGAATAAAAACAAAAACTCGGTGAGTGGAGTTAAGAACCCACTGTAGCGCAGGTGTTTATAAAGAGTGGGGACTGTGGCCGAGTACGAGTGTGGAGATGCTGTGGTGAGGGTGGCGGGTGAGAGCAGCAGGCATGAGGTCGGGCGCACCCTGACCCGTGCCCCCCAAGCCGTGCCCCCAGAGCCAACCATGGGCCAGGGGGCCAGCTACCACCACCACCAGCACCATCCACACCAACAGCAGGCATCACACTGGGCCATGGATTCCACGCCAGACCCCACACACAGTCCCCACCAGGTGCGGCAGCGGGTGCAGCACCAGCAGCAGCAGCGAGAAATGAAAGAACTGCAGCTGGATAGGGAACATCATGAGAGACAGTTGCAGCAGCAGCAGGAGGTAGCTGGCCTCAGTACTGGTTGTTGTGGCTCTGGCACCTCATGTAGTTGTGGAGGCGGTCTGTCGTCCACAGCTGCAATTTATGGTACTACATCTGCTCCTGACCCTGCTCCTCATGCGGTCGTTGTGACGCCCCCTCGCAGCCTTCCCCACCACCACCACCACCACCATCATCACCAGCAGCAGCAGCCAGAGTCACCCATTGCCACCAATGCCACTGGTTTGGGCAGTAGCAGCAGGTGTAGTGGGTCAGGTGGAACTTGTAGCAGCAGCAGTAATGGGTGTGGTCACTGGTGTTCTTCGTGCAGGGTTCGTGTCCAATTAGAAGTGGAATGTGTTGGGGGGATGGAGGCACGGCCCTCACCCCCGAGGGGTGGTCGCCTTCGTACCTTGGCCTTCCCAAAGAGGCACCGACACAAGACTAAGACTCCCACCAGAGACATCCCACCACAACCCAAGAAGAAGAAAACACCCTGGACTTTCAGATTAAACTGTAGGTTACGGCCTTCAAAATCTGAGCCAGAGCCTGATGCTAGCTCTAGTGTAGGCTGTGGGGCGTGCATGTGTCCAAGCCTGCGGCGGCCAGAGCCAGACCTGCACACCCATCACCATCATCACCACACTGTTGCTGGACTTCCCTCTGCACAAGATGTACCCACAGTATCAAGTGTAGGGGCAGGCATGGCAGCCAGCCCTGGTGGTGCAGTGGCTCTAAGGGCTCCTGTCATTGACCTCTCGAGGTTTAACCCAGAAGCTTATCCAATTGAGGACTGGGAGGAGCGTGCACGACAAGAGAGGGCACGGGAGATGGCAGAGGGTGTAGAGCCGCCTCCAGGATTTACCAGTGCACCAGGATCACTTGGACTCCCTCCAGCACACCACAGCCTCACACCTGCACATCATGCTCTCACACATCTGCAGTTACAGCATCAGCACCAGCTGCAGCTTCAGCAGGCAGGTGCAGTAACAACTTTGCCCTTACCTTACAACTCAATGCTGGACCTTCAGTTACTTCTGGAGCGGTCTCTTCGCTTGGGTCTGGCAGGTCCCCGCTCTGTTGCAGCCTCGCTCACGGAGGAGACACTGTTGCAGCAAGTTGGTCGACTTGCTGGGGAGGGCTCATTATTGCAGCGTACAGTACACACACAAGTGGACTACATTCATTGTCTTGTACCTGATCTTCTCAGTATAACTAATTGTGTGTTCTACTGGGGTAAAATGGACCGGTACGAGGCCGAGCGCCTCCTTGACAACCGTCCGGAAGGAACCTTCCTGCTCCGGGACTCTGCACAAGAAGAATACCTCTTTTCTGTATCCTTCAGAAGATATGGCCGTTCCCTTCATGCTCGCATTGAACAGTGGAACCATAAGTTTAGCTTTGATTCACATGATCCCGGTGTGTTTGCATCTGACACTGTGTGTGGCTTGATAGAGCATTACAAGGATCCATCATGTTGTATGTTTTTTGAACCAATGCTGACCAACCCACTTGCCCGTACGTTCCCATTCCCACTGCAGCACCTGTGTCGTGCTGTCATATGCTCCACCACCACCTACGATGGTATCAATAATCTGCGCCTCCCCAAGCCACTCAACAACTACCTCAAAGAGTACCACTACAAGCAGCGAGTCAGAGTACGCCGTCTCGACCATTAGCAGCGGTGACTCGCTCACTACCTTGAGAGGTGTAGCACATGAAGCAGGTCAGTTAGTGGTGCCACCTATACAGTACTACCTTTTACAGCAGATGAAGGGGACACATACCACAGAGGCATCAGAGTCACAACAGCCATGTCTTTACCAGTGTAAGATACAGACAGTGCCAGTGGGGTTACTAGCGTGTGACTCCTGGGGCAGCCATTGAGGCTTAAGAGGGGGATTACCTTCCAGGGAGGTGAGGTTAGTGCCCTGTATCAAGAAAGATTTCCTTGTGTAGATCATTGCCCTACTCCATTGGGTATTCATCTTAGTCCCTCATGTTATGTCAGGTTGCCTTCTTCCCAGCTATAATGGTGCTGCAGGACATCCCCCTCCCTCCTCTCACCCCCACCTTCCTTACACACATCCAGTGTTTCCAGAACAGAATTATAAGTGAATATGTGTGTTTATACTCAGCTGCCTCTGGATCCAGCTACTGGAATGCCTAGATACGCTTAATACTTTGTACTCAACTTACACACGCAGTCCTTCCCTTCCTGTCAAGAGATATAGATGTATGCATGTTGGGGGATGTGTGTGAGAGAGATTGGGCATGTTGTAACCTTGATAATCAAAGGCTCAGATTGAATGATCCGTATGCCATGGTTTAACAACAGTTTCTCTCTTATCCTATTATCCCTGCCATTGTTATCTGTGAATTACCATATACCTGTTCTGTAGTTGTTAGGGAGAGAGAGAGAGAGAGAGCTGGGGTTCCCTCAAGGTCGCTACACTGGTTACTATTTTGTTTAGAGACGAAAATAAATGGATTATTTGATAGGTGCTCCTGAAAGCACAGTCCTTTTCCACTGCGACATTTTGCCTGTTCAAAAATGAAATACAGTATGTTCTTTTATTTTTTTGACAATGCCCAACTCATGTTAAGTTCCACGAAAATCACAAAAAAAATGTATGCACAGACACACACATCAAAAGCAGCCAGTGGTTAGATATAAGATTGTAAATTTCCAGTGAGAGTACGAAAAACAGATCCTTTAATTGTAAGAAGCAATTGTTAAGTTATCTGTACCACTCGAGAAGATTGGTAGAGTTTGTTTTGTTTTGACGTGCAGACCTAGATGGGGCCTGGCATGTAGGGTTGAAGTACAAGTTGAGGTGATGTGGATGTTACCTCATATACTACCTGTTGCTTCCTGGCAGTGTTCTGTTTTTTATATGTTAGTCAGGAGTGTAAGGGAGATGGCACTGTATAGGTCTGGAGTGTTATCATTGTTGTGTGAGTGGTGTGGATACATGTGGTGGGGTGGATGTTTTCTGAGTGGTGTACCTGTGTGTGAATGTTTACTTCATTTGTGTGTGACTTTACAATTGGTATTTTATCAGTAAATTATTATATAGATTTCTTTTTTGCATTTGTCATATACAGTATATACAGTATATTCAGGAGCAAGTATGAATGTTAAAGAGTGGTGGTTAGAACAATAGGGTGCAATATAATGGCTCCTGGTGTTCACATATATATTGTTGGGAAGTTTCTTTTATTTTTTGAACAAAATGTTAAGGTTAATCTTGCAACAAACAAAAAGGAATGTTTAAACCCACGTGTTTATTTTTTCCTCCGTATTATAAATCTTGGTTAGGATTTTTGTTGTTGGAGCTTATTGTATTTAATAGCTAAAATATACAATAACATAGGATGCATTTTAAGGACTAGTTATAGATTCTGAAATGGTTTTAGATTCTGCACCCTTGGAGTTGGTACTGGTGCAGGTATCATCTGTGTTCTCAATTGTGTTTATTGTAATACTATGGTCACATTGCAACTGGAGATTATATTTAAAAAGTATTAGCTTACTTGTTGAAGGTTGTTAGTGCCAGCTGAAGAGAAAGGAATGCGAGTAACTTTAGGGTAACTTTATTGTCGTGATTCACAAGGCTGATGTGTGTCTCAGACGGGCAACATGAGCGGACCGTGTCACCAAGACTTACGGGATGGTAAGTCTCTATGGATGAATGTTCGGTGTGTTGTTGCATCATGTTACACTATATCACGTGTTGTGCATATTTAAAAACGTGGTGGATCTGTAACTTGTTTCAATAGACTGTGTGGAGGTGGAGTGTTGTTAATCTTAGTATCTTTTGTGTATTACTGGTCACAGTTAATATAGAAACAGGGTAATAGGGAAGTGTGTTTTCATGATCAAATTGTGCAGCAGCCAACCACCCACCCACCCAATGTCAGGAGGAGTGGCCATCACGGTGGTCCTAGCACAGGGGCTGCCTTCTTTGCTCACCTTCCAGTGAAATGTGTACAGTACTGTATTAGTTTATGTGTACAGCATCACCATCAAGTAAGTGATGTTAGTAATTTATCAGCATGCAGTCTGTCAGTTATGTAAGTGGACAGCATCAGTAATATGTAAATTATTTATGAATATATGAGTATGGATCGTCATGGTCTGGTTGATGAGTGTAATAGCCTCTGATAAATGTATTAGTTTGAGTTTCTTAACAGCATCATCCTGGAGATGATTGTAGCTCAATGGTATACTGTACTGTACAGCTAACATGCTGTAAGTTGTGTACTGTACACTTATTTTCATAACTTTGGAGAGGTGAGCTGGAAGTTATCAACATCAATTAGACCTTATTAAAGGTCACTCGTTGCAAGTTTTGCTTGTTACTGGATGTGCTGGCCACGTATCCCTGGGTGGTGGTTCTGTATACAGGGTGTCTCAAAAATGTATACACACACTACTTTACAGGTTTTCATGGAAAACTCTTAGGCACTGTGTATACATTTTTCTGAGACACCCTGTATAATTGTCTGCTGAGTTGAGTTGCCAATGATACAGTATATTAAATGTTTCTTCAACCAGGAAAAGTATTATTTTTCTCATATATGTTACGTATATATTTTTGTATTTCATTTCCTGTGCCATTGAACCCTGTGACTTAATTACACTGTCTGTCATCACTCCAAAGCGTATCTGGGAAAAAAATAAAAAAGACATCACTTACCATTGTTATTATTACAGAGAGTGTCTTTTGAATGTTATAATACTACTCCTGCTGCAAGTTCATGTGATGGAATGCCTTCGTTGCCGTTACCAGTGATTAGGCTATGGTCTTCTTTAACAGGTTTTTACATGTTGTGGCCTCTTTGTCACTGCCTGCCCCCTCCTCACTTATCTCTCCATGTTTCCCTCTTCTTTATCTCCTTACCGTGGTTTTTCGCTCATTATTCTTCCGATTCCTCGTCCAGTCTTTATTCTGTTGCTCCTATTCTAAACCATTCTTGTGCTTGCTTTCCTCTCATTCTTCTCTATCTGTCTCTTCCTGTAATCATTTTCCTTCCTGTCATTATTTTCATTCATCTGTCTGTCTTCACTTAATCATTCTCCTTCCTCTGTCATTCTTTTCCCTTCATTCTTTTGGCCTCATAGGTAACTGCTAATTCTGTTGTGTTTAATGGGGGTTCTTAAAATCCTTTGTAGGCATTAGATTGATTGTTGCAGGTCAGTTCTACACTTCGTTTCTGCGAGTTAATTTGGTCCAGGGTGTTGACGATATCTCTTGTCGTTGATGGTAATGGAATATTGGCCAGGGTTTTAAGTTATTTTTGCCATTGATGATGATGGTATTGGCCAAGGTGTTAAGGTAGCTTTTGCCATTGATAATAACAATATTGGCCTGGGTGTTAAGTTACCAACTGCCTCTAATGATAATATAATAATGAGTCGGTATCATGGCCCAGTTTACATTGGTATTCCACTACAGAAAATGTCAGTATTATATCTATTTAGAAATTTGATCATCTGACAGGATCACTGAATGACCTTTGTTTCTTGCTGATAATGACTTGGACGTCATGTATATTTTTAAGAATGGTCTTAAGATTGCTTCTCCTCTCCGTTTCTTTCCTCTGACTCGGTACAGTACAGGATGTGAAAGGCTTGTACTGCACCACAATGACAAATTCTCGGGATGAATCACCCATGACAAGTACCGGTATAGAGAACAAGAATCAGTGACATTATTAGACCGTAGTGTATCTATTTCTCTTTATCTCCAGTGATTAATTAGTGTTACCTCAGAGATGTTGTTTAGTATTTGATATTCAGGAAAGACTTTTATTTTTTCTTTGTGTGTGTCTGTATGTCTGTCTCTGGTCAGTAAATTCTGTCGGAAGTTGTTAGTATTTTGTTTTGTGGTGCTCGTGTTTAACTCATTTGCTGTTGAGATCATATGAGGTTATACAGTATGCAAGGTGTCTCATAGGTTGCACTCCATGGGAAAATTAATGTGTGTTGGTAGATCAAGTTCCTTTTGCATCTGGTTTTCCGTTCATGAGCATTAAAACTCTACCGCCATATTCATCGAGTTAGGATTCCCTCACCCGAAGGAGGAAAAAGGAAATGACTAAATTTTCTCTATGATATGCGAGCTATGTGCGAGACAATACGGTAGAGTAATCCTTGCCCACCGCAACTTGTAACCCATAAGTTGACACCTCTTAGCATTCTGCAGTTATGACTTTTGCTCTGCATTTTCTAAACCCTCAAAAATATGGTTTCACTTCAATAGTTTATCCAAGAATCCCAACTAAAATTTATGGGAAATATAATAAGGTACATTTTGACAGCAGTATGGGTGTAAGGTCTGAAGTTTAAATGATTTGCTTGTAAAATTTAAAGCGTTTTAAGTTTTAAATAAGTTCAGACAATATTACGTTTGATGAATTCAAATGTTGTAATTGTTCCCATTAAGATTATACATGGGACATTTTTCCCTCTTGTTACTTATCACGTGTCTTTAAATTAGTTTATTGAGTTTGTATTACGCAGAAGACGTCAACTAGTGGATACGTGTTGGCTGTGTACCTTCCTCATCAGCTCTGCTTTTCCTTGTTTTGTGTTTATACAAATAGCATAAAGGTAGTGGAATTTACCCAGAAGAGTTATTGTGTAAAGGTACAGTACAGTACAGCAAGCATGTAGTAAAGGCCTAATATTGTACTATTACTTTAAAGCTATGTCTGAGAGTGTCTATGGGAGGACCAGAAACAGTGTGGTTAAGATTGTGAGTGTTTCATCTCAATATTGTACAAACAGATGGTAGCTACTGACAGTTCTACTTGTCTGTTGTAATTTGTGGACTATGGGACAATTATATTTATCTTTGATGTTTATGTTCACGTGTTTATAATGAACGATGTGAATATCTTCTTTATTGTTCATAATGAGCAAAAAACTGATGTTCCTTAGGTTGCTTACATAATGATATCAGTGTGTATGTGTGTGACTTTAGAATGGCAGTGTGTGTGTGTAGGGGAAGGGATGGGGGGGGGGGAGTAGAACATGTGGATGGATTGGTATCCCTGTAAATATTTTGAACAAAGCATACATGGAACTTTAAACATTTGTATTGTCTTCATGCTTCGAGTGATCCAAGTTGGAGCTGTAGGTTCTATTACATGCTTAGGGAGAACGGCCCTATGTCGTAGAAGTATTTATGTGCCACCTTTAAAAGAACTTCTGGAAGCTCTTCCGATGAATTATTTGTTGGCCGGCCGGTGCCGCATGTTGGACACCGCCACCATGTCCGATGTACATATGACAGTTACTCTGAAGTTGTAATTCTTTGCCAAAATGTGCTATCTTAGTTGGTTAAACTAAGGTGTACAGAGGAATGGATAAGGTGTTCTCCTTATTTTCTAATGTGTATAAACCCGTGTATGTTCTCTTGGCCTCCTTTGGAAGGCCTTCAATAAAATATCTTTGGTATTATTTCTGTTTATGTTTCCTTGTGATAGGTTTTCTTGAATTGCTACACAAACACTTCCGTTGAACAGACACAGTTAACTATGAATGTTAGTGGACCTCGGCTTTAAAGAAACTCATTCCATCATTTGTAGAAAGTTTGATGCACTAATTTGTTAATGGCATAAGGGGTGATTAGTGACAAATAATTCAATCCTACTAACTAGAATCACTTACAGAAAAGTCATGGACCCTGTACTGCTTTATAGCCAACTCAGAAATGTAGAAAATGTCCATAAAACAGTGATGATTTCTAAAGTTCAGGATTTGGTTCTTCTTCACAAAAGACTTGAAACTCACTCATTACAACTTGGCTCAAAATGGCTGACTTACTCATATAGTACAATACTATAAACATATCGATACTGAAGAAACAAAAAACAGAAAGTAACGTAGCATATCAAATTTAAATAAAAAAATCACCTTTACTTTCAGCTTAATGGATACAGCACTTGTCTCCTGTTAGCCATTGTGTGCCTGGGCTACCTACAGTTCACATAGCTGTGAATGTGTACCAGTGAGTGAATCTCTCTAGAATACTTTATTGGTATACTGTACTGTACTTGTTGGAATCCGCTACTGCTTCAGTACTGTACTGTACTTTATTTTAGAAAAAGCTAATATATGTTTCAATATATCAATAGCTTTACTCTTTTATTATTAAACATTGTGTCTTGTATAAATATTTTTTTGAAATTTTTTACCGAGTCAATATATGCAATACATCAAGTTCTTAATTTGTTTCCAAAAATTTGGTCCTACACGCCCTGTGGAGGGTGCTAGTCACTGACAGCTGCCAGGTCCTACACGCCCCACGGAAGGTGCTAATCACTGATAGCTGCCAGGTCCTACACGCCCTATGGAGGGTGCTAATCACTGACAGCTGCCAGGTTCTTCAGTTCGCGGCGGAGGATCTTGCCAGTGACATTCTTGGGCAGCTGGTCAATGAAGTGGACGCCACCAGCCAGGTGCTTGTGGGGGGCGAGGCGGCCCGCCAAGAAGGTCACCAGATCCTCCTCCGTCAGGTTGGGGTCCTTCTTCACGACATAAGCCCTTGGCACCTCTCCTGCCCGGGTGTCACTCACGCCTACCACTCCGGCTTCTGCAACACCCTGATGCTGCAGCAACTCGTCCTCCAACTCAGCGGGTGACACCTGTAACATCCTAGTGTTACACCTTGACTCTAGTGACTTGTAACACCCTTTACTGATAATCTTATACCAAATGTTTGTTACATCCTCCTAGTGACTTTGAGACACCTAAGTGACCTACCTGATGACCTTTGACCTTGATGAGTTCCTTGATCCTGTCGACAATGTAGAAGAAGCCTTCATCATCGTATTTGGCCACATCGCCAGTTTTCAGCCAGCCATCTTGTGTGATCGTCTCCTGTGTTGCCTCCAGGTTGTTGTGGTACCCAGTGATGATCTGGAACACCAAGACTGATTGATAATTTTATAACACAACAAAGGGGGTAACATCAACACAGCAAAGGGGTAATACAGTAATTTCTGATGTTATTGTCTACATTTATATCGATAGATTACGATCATGTGAAATTTAGGCACCCCCAGCTTATTTCACCTGATGATTAATCACCTTAACTCGAACCTGGGGGAGTTATGTTAGATTAGCATTAGGATGCTTAATCTTCAGGTGATTTAAGTTGGGATGCCTCATCTTCACGTGAAACATAAATTTTCCCTTGTGTCTATGCATATGTACCTACACAAAGACACTCACCCCGGAGGACTTTATCCACAGCTCGCCTGGTTGGTCTGATGGTAAGGGTAAGCCTGAGGTTGGGTCCATCACCCTAGCTTTTACCCCAGCCAGTAGGGTCCCACACGATCCAATTTTCTCCTGATCCAGTGGGGTGTAGTGGGTTGGCATTGTTTCTGTCATGCCATATGCTGTGGGCATTTGGTATTTATTAAAAGACATCTTACTCCCATAGAAGAGCATACATTATCTGCACTGTATACCTGTTCATATAGCATGAATGTGAATTTTGTACAGTATGATGATATTACTCCGTCTATCTGGCTCTGTTTCTGACCATAACTTCTATCCAAAATAGACAGCCCTCACACACACATTTCCTCCACGCACGCGAGGACACAGTGCCACGTAGCCGACTCATTTGGCAATCAAAACAAAACGACTTACTTTATTTGCGTACTATACAAACTTTATAAACTTGTGCCATTGTGTTGATTTTGCTTGTAATTATTACTTGTTAGTACACTTCATATAATTCTCTCACCATTGTGTTTGTGAATTTTACCGTCAGACTGCAGGAACTGACATAGAGGAATTCCTTTTACTGGTGTAGGTTAGATTCAATGAGAATTAAGGTAGGATAGGGACAGCGTTAGGTTCGGTTAAGTAAAAGTTAAATAAAGTTACACTGACCTTCTTGAAAGAACACAGGGTTGGGCGCCTTCTCTTTGAGGGCGTGAGCGGTGTGGGGTGAGCAGGGGGCGGAGGTGCACATGGCCAAACGCACTGAGGCCAGATGGGCGGGGGTGACAAGCGGATGACCCACCAGGAATTGTAGCAGAGGAGGTACCAAGTGCAGCACACCTATCTGAGAATATACCACTCTTATGTTATGTTAGGTTACCATTTGAGTATTTAATCATCAGGTAAAATAAACTGGGGTTCCTAATCTTCCTGATAACTGGACTACATCCTGACCTTGTGTTTAGTGATGGTGGCGATGAAGACGTCTGGCAAAAACTGTGGCAGGGTGACCACCTTGGCGCCCACCATCATACTCATGCAGAGGACAACGTACACACCATATGCGTGGAAGAATGGCATCAGCCCCATCACTGTCTCCTGTGTCTCAGCTGCACGATAAAAGAACAGTATTGTATTTAGTATGACTTGTGATGTATATACTAGGTAAGATGCATATGTATGTTTTATCATGTGTACTGTTAGTTGTAGCAGCTAACAAAGCCACACACCGTAATATGTTACACTGTAGTGGATTCTCTCCCCTACAACTGCTGGTTGATCACTTGCCATCCGCTTACCAGCCAATCAGCAGCGAGTTCCACAGACCGGGCCTCACTCTCGGACTCTGCGGTGATTGGCCCATTACCGCCTTCACCTCAGCCAATCAGCAGCGCCGCTCACTTCACACCTCTCTCCCTGATCTTGCAGAATCGCATAAATACTCCCCAGCCTCGCCATGAACATCATTCTACTCAACGCTCTCAAACCAACAAGACCTCTCAACAAGCTCCTCACCACACAGCAACTCCCTAGCACTGCACTGTACATACTATATATACTGAATATATTGTATACAGAAAATGCCATTGTGAGTTTCCCTTCTTACCTCCATCCTTAGTGCGAGATCTCCTACGTGTACGTATGTATGTGAGCCTAACAAAGAAAATAGACAAACAGAGAAATTTGACAACTGGCCACATACACTATGCAAAAATTGGTGACCCACGGAGTGACGCACTCACTCAGGATGGATGAGAAACGGATCACTCTCCCAGTCTTCAATCACAACATTGAAGACTGGCTAAGCCACATGGAGGCAGCTCTCATCGGTTCAACAGCTACAGACAAACAGAAGTACGTCGCCCTGGTCTGTTCCCTGCTCACAGAAGTCGCCACACAAGTTGCAGAAGTCATCACCAACCCTCCAGCTGACAACAAATTCGCAGCTCTATGAGATGCTCTCAAGAGGCGATACCAGCGGCCTGACACCAGTCTCCTGCAAGACCTATCCGTCCTCTCCCTCGGCAACTCAACGCCTGCACGTCTCTGGGACGACATGCGAAGACTGAACTCCCGCCACACAGACAGGCTTCCTGATACTATCCTGCGCCAGCTTCACACTCAGAAGCTCCCTGCAGAAGTTTGTCTCATCCTCTCGGCATTGGACTACTCTACTGCCTTGGCGACCTATGCAGCCACGGCAGACAGAGTATTCCACAAATACACTGCTGTGCGCCATACTGCCATGAACAACTCGGTGGCCACACCGTCACTTAGCTCCGGTTTTGTCAACCAGATCAACTCTTCTCAGAGAAGTAGCATTCCACCAGACAAACAAGACATGAGGGTCCTGCTACAGTCTCTACACAGCAAGATGGACACCCTTGAGCAGCTCTGCTCTTCCATGCCTGCTGCAGCTCCTGTTCCTGCCCCACGCACTGTGTCCTACCGACCCCGACATCCCCGTCCTGCCTCAGACCCTGCCGCCAGCCCCCAGCACAGTGTACCTACCCTCTGTTGGTACCATCAACGTTTTGGTGCTAACGCTAGACGCTGTGAGGCTCCCTGCAACTACACGAGGAAGCGACATCGACGAGGATTGGTAGACGGCATAACCTCCGACGCTATCAAGCAGCGCATCACACGCCTTACCTCTGACCTTGACCACTTCACTCCTGCTGCCCATCACGACCTATTACAAACACTACGACAGGCAGTTTCTGCATTCAAGGCTACTGCCCCACGCCAGCCTTCCCATCGCCCTGAACACATTCATCTTGCACCACCTCGCCCACAACATTTCTGCGTACCCTCTTTTCATCCTCGGGTACCTACTGCTCCTGATACAAACCCTGCTCCTGACGTGGACCCTGCTCCTGATGAGGGTCCTGCATCCGGCCTTAATGACCCAGACACCCCACCCGGCGCCCCTGAGGACTTTGCTCCTGCCGCGAGAGAAGCACCATATTTCTCCTGTTCAACCTTCTCTCATAGAGAAATTTGACTATAGGCCACATACAGTACGCTACAATACAAATAAAGGTATACGGTTACCATTTCTGTAAACCTGAGCATATTGTATATAAAAGGGGAGACAGATTTATTTTTTAATTGCTGGGACAAGATATTCCCATGAAGCCTCGACTCTACTTCAGTTGATGTTCGAGAAGACACTCGACACCATCCAGCAAGTCCAAAGAATAAGTCCAACAGCATAGACAAATTCACATCTACTGCCTCTGCATCACGTTAACATGTTCCTCGACAAGAAAATTACCATTGCCACCGGAAAAAAAACACCTGGTAAGTGATAAATTAGGGGTTTGATGATGTTAATGTTTACAAAATTACCCCCCCGACTTCCTAAAACATGTTATTTTTGTCTTGGCATGAGACTAGAGAACACTTGTCACCCACGTGTGTGAATGATTGTATTGCATGCTGTCAGTTGTTCTAGTTATTATTCCAATTTGGTGGATATCAAAGAAAGAGGGAAGTCACGAAAATAAATATAACTTAAAGTATTTATAACAACATACGGCTCAACGTGACAAATCATTAAAAATGACTAAACTAAATAACATCTAACCAAAAGCTTGTTAGGTTTGATATAGGTTGGTTGGGATTAGTGTCCTTGTGGTGCTGTGGGGTTTCGTGATGTTGTCTCGCACTCAGGATGGGTTGGAGAAAGGAAACTCAAAATGCGTTTTCTGTATATAAATATATTGAATGTACTGTACAGTGCAGTTTGGTGCTGGGAAGTTGCTGCGTGGTTAGGAGCTTGCTGAGAGGTGTTGGATGAGGAGCTCGTTGAGAGGTCTTGAAGGTTCAGGAACGTGAAGTAGAATGAGAGCTGGTCAGCGAGGAGCTTGCTGAGAGGAGGTGTTGCGTGTTGCAGGGCTGTAGCTAGAATCAGAGCTGGACAGCGAGGAGCTCGCTCAGAGGAGATGTTGCGTGTTGCAGGGCTGTAGCTAGAATCAGAGCTGGACAGCGAGGAGCTTGCTGAGAGGAAGTGTTGCGTGTTGCAGGGCTGTAGCTAGAATCAGAGCTGGACAGCGAGGAGCTTGCTGAGAGGAGGTGTTGCAGGGCTGTAGCTAGAATCAGAGCTGGACAGCGAGGAGCTTGCTGAGAGGAGGCGTTGCGTGTTGCAGGGCTGTAGCTAGAATCAGAGCTGGACAGCGAGGAGCTTGCTGAGAGGAAGTGTTGCGTGTTGCAGGGCTGTAGCTAGAATCAGAGCTGGACAGCGAGGAGCTTGCTGAGAGGAGGTGTTGCGTGTTGCAGGGCTGTAGCTAGAATCAGAGCTGGACAGCGAGGAGCTTGCTCAGAGGAGGTGTTACGTGTTCAGGAACGTAGGGTAGAATGAATCTCAATGACGAGACTGAGAGCTTATATACTCGGCTACCGGAAATAAACCTGGGTGCAAGCGTCGCAGGTTGCGACCCCCTCCCCCCCTCCCGTGAGAAACTCGCTGGATGCTGTGGCATTGGAATGCGGCTAGGCTTGTCATATGTAAGGAACAGTATCGCAGGTGGCGACCCCCGTGAGAACCTCGCCTGTGGTTGAACTCCGTTGCTGTGGTATTCGGCTAGGCTTTCAGTTGTAGGGGAGAGTATCCACTACAGTGCTATTTACGCTGTAGCTTCCCTGACACGTTCCAAGCTTTTCCTGTCATCTATTTAAGATTTATTTTTATTAATTTCCTCTCGTGTTTTTCCTTGATCCTGCACCAGTTATAAGACAAACACATGTCTATAGTCCAACTAAAGCTAAAAAAACACATACTTTTCCATATACGAGTAAGTCATTCAACATCTCTCTAAAATGAAGTTATTCAGTATCTCAAAGGAAGAATTTATTCAACATTTATCATAAACAGAACGTACACGTACTGTAAAAGTCCCAGGGTACAAATTCAAGTCTAGAAATAAGATTGCTTTGTTGGGTTATCCTGGTCAAATACCTGCACTGTCTATGTACATTGTTTATACCTATACTATGAATAGTTTATGTACTTGTACTGTCTGGGTATATTGCTTGTATCAATCTATGTCTATATATGTCAATCTGGCTCTGTGTGGTAGTAAGCCGGATATGCCGTAAGTTCAGTTCAAAATAGATAGCCTTCACAGACACACGGGACAAGTGCGACATTTTTGGCAGGTAGAAGAGGAGTGATTTATTTGATTTAATTACTGTTGTTCTTAATTTATTTACCTACTCATTTACTTATTTTACTTACTTCACTTACTTATTTACTTATTTTACTCCTTATAATGTGCTTTACGTACTTATTTACTTACTTTATTTACCAGTACTTACTACTTACTTAATTTATTTATTTACTCACTACTGACATTTTACTTACATATTTACTTTGTTACTTTATTTTCTACTTATTCATTTTACTTGAGAGAGAGAGATAAGCTTCAGTCCTAACTCTGGAAACAAATCTTGCATCTCCTACAGCCTTATCGTGTAAGGTAAGTACGTACATGTAGTACAGATTGTATAATTATGCAGTAAGGTTGTAGGTACTTGCAGTAAGATTGTAGATGAGGTTACTGAAGGGATTGTAGTAGGGTTATAAGTACCTATAGTATAAGATACCTGTGGTAGGGGCGTAGGGAAACACTTCAGGATGGAAGACGGCTGGTAGGTTAGCCCTGAGGGCGGTGCTAGAGATGGGTGCTCCCTTTGGCGGTCCGCTGGTGCCGCTCGAGTACATCAACACACTCGTTCCTTCCTCCTCTTCTGCCTGTGGGGAGGAAGGAGGGGAGGTTCGGTTGGTTGAGGGAATCTGAGGTAGTGACGAATGGCTGACATGTCATGGTTGAGGAAGATCTAGTGAGAGATTAGGTATATGAAACATTAGATAAAAAGATTAGGCGAGAGAGATTAAGTAGGCCTATATGTAACCATAGATAAAATGATTGAGTGATAGAAAGGGAAAACAAGGATAAAGATTAAGAAAATTAAAAGATTGAGATATGTAACAAGTCTCCCATTGTTCTCTGGGATACACATGTACAGAATGTAAATAACAATGAAAATAAGCATACAATGACTTGGCTGTGTTATCCTTGGTCAAATCGCTCTACCGTTTATCATTGTATGCCTGCGCAGTCTATAGGTACATTATTTGTATACCTGTTTTTGTCTGTGTACATTGTTTGCATATCTGTACTCTCTACATTGCTTGTGTAACTTCACTGTTTGTGTACTATATAACGTGCTAAATCAATGTGAACTTGTATGGTGATTTTTATTTAATATTTATCTATGTTTGTCTTTTTATCAGCCTATATATTTATCTATCTTCAGACCTACAGAATGATTCCTTGACATGACCTCTACAATAAAGACGACAAAGTGAAGGAACTGACTAACGTGGGTAACGTCAGCAAAAGGTGTATTGGTATCACGGATGATCTGAAGGAAGTCTGGTCGAGCATCTTTGGAGTTCCCGACCACGTATAGTTGAGGCGGGGTCTGGAGGTCCGCTATGCCCGCTGCTGCCACGCTCTCTAGGATACTGTCTACCACCAGTACCTTTGCTCCACTATCACTGATCTGCCGTGAGACTTCTCCTGTGCCACAAGTGAGAGCATTACTGTTTGGTTATTGGAGGAATGTTATGGTTAGGTTAAAATGGGCCCGTATTATGGTTTTAAGTGTTAGGTTAGGTTTAGGTTAAAGGGTTAATATGCAAGTGGTGTTAAGATACTAACCAGGTGTGAAGGTCGGGTTCATTGGGGAAACAATGGCCCCGGATAACTTGGAACCCAAGAAGGCGATGGCAAAGTTTGGAGAGTTTAGCATCATGAGGGCAACCACCTGGCCCCGTCCCACCCCAGCCCTCTGCAGTGCCCCGCCCCACCGTAGTGCTGAGTCCTGCAGTGAGGCGTAGGTCACTTTCTCACCCGTCACCCCACACTCCTGTAGATGGTGATGAAGTAGGTGTTATATATGACCTACCTGCACGAGTGGGACTTACAAAGGTTCCTCGTAAGTTAAGTTGTAAGGATGTCCATAACCATTACATCATTACACTGACGTTATATTATGTTCTTTGTGCAGAAATTTGGAGATAAAATTAAGTTAGAGAATACCTTTAAAATAAATCTTAATCTTATCACCTAACTGGTAATATGTAAACATATCCACTTCGATTCTCAATGGAATTCGTTTTGTTTTGAACGCTCGTCTTTTGTTTTAGTTTAAGTCGTCCAGTTATGAACATTCTTGTCTTTACTTACGAGAATTATTAAAAGGCACAGACACACAGACTATTATTTGGCAATCAAGTGACCCATTCCCCAGTTATGTAACTATATTTTCAGCCTTCTGGCTGCCATGCTCTTTCAATAAACCGTTTATTAGTATTAATTATTATTTACACAGACACACCATTATGGTGCCTGGGCGTTCTTGTCTATAACTAAATCTCTACTGAAGTGGTTGGTGGTGGTAGTAGGTGTGGTACTCACTAGGGCAGTGTGGTGAGACCAGCGGGAGGCAGACTGCAGTACAAGAGGACCCAGATTGTGTTGAACGGGTGTCGGGGTCTCCCACTCGGACAATAAATCGTCTCCTTCCCGCCTGCCGGAGACAACACCGTCCGTGTACTGGCTGGATTTATTATATAATTGATGAAATAATTGATGTAGGTTCTATGAGTCATTTACCCAATACAGGAGAGACTGCAATGCATTATGTAGGGGTGCCGTCAGGTAATGTGGCTAACTCATCCATGTATAGAAAAGGTCCGTGAAACGTTGGTAGTAGTGACGTGGAGTGCAGCGTTATAAACTACCTGGGGATACTAGCATGTACAGAAAAAGTATTCACATTTGCCTGTACATGTTGTAAGAGTCTAGCACTTCAACATCACTACCTATTATCAGCACTTTAGCTGATCGATCCTCTTGAGATAACAGCAGAGCCGTAATTTTTAAATAACGAAACTTGCTTTTCTGACACATCAATAATATTGTCTTTATAGTTCAAGATGTATAGAGACAATGCAGGTAGACAGTCAATGAAGGTATGGATATGATTTCTATAATTTAGATAAACCAGTTGGGTACATAGATGGTACTGACCTTAGTGTGTGTGCCGCCTTCGTAGTGCCTGGTGTAAGTCTGCCAGTCGCTAGCCAGCATGGTAGACGACGACGCCAGATGTGAAGTGAGGAGCGAAACATTGTTATGGTTCCTCGAGTAGCTAGGATTATTATTCCTTAGTGTATATTATTGTTGATAATTAACGTCACGAGTGTGCGTTGTTCTTACAGAAACCACTCCCCTTCGTTTACTGATGTGGTCTGTTGTTCACTCAATCTTTAATTTCTTCCATTATTTTTTTTTCCAGATTTATCGTAATTGGAATCTGCAAAATAAAATCACCCGATGAATATAAGATACACAATGTCTAACGGTATCTCATTTACATTGTTCATATCAAATTTTGTTAAAACAGGAAGAAGACTTTGTGAACACTGTCGAGTTTAAGATTAATTTTCTTGGTACACGTAAAACTTTCCTCACCTGGTAACAGAGGCAGTGACGAAGAGATGATGTTGAGAGGGTAGAATAGACCAGTCACTATACAGGTTCAGCCAAGACTAACACTGATGGCTTGACGGTGCACAAGTACTATACTATTTCAGCCCTGTTATGTGAAAGATTAGCACTGCTGATAGTGTCTGGTCATGGTAGACACATTCTCCATCTCTTTCTTTTAATATCCGTCACATTTTCTATAAACTTTCTTTCTCACACACTCTCTTTCACATATACTCTCAAAGATACTGTGTACATGTAAGCGAATATCAGACTGTGACTTCGACTTGATCTATAGAGGTCAGAAGGTAATGGTAACCGGCCAGAAGATTGTTCCACTATCATCAAGGGAGTCTGGTAGTGTGTTGTACTTCGTTTACGGGTGAGGGTACAAGGCAGTGGTGCACAAAGGATAGTCTAGCGCTCTTGAGGTATAATTAACTAAAAATAAATAAAACAATCACAAGAAATGTACAGTATATAGTATGGTCGAGTAGGTATACGAACAATGTACATAGACAGTGTATGTATGCACAGTGTACACCGAAAGTTAGGGGAATCTGGGTATATACAATGTGCATAGGCAGTTCAGGCACTTAAATAATGCACAGTACTCACATATAGTGGACGTCAAGTAAATTAGAATAGTGCATCCTTCAACTGTCACTCGATTATCGTTCTCTATCTTTCCGCATTCTCCAGAAGTCTACGGGAACTGCACGGCCCAAATACATTTGGGGCAAAAAATTAAGGTCATTTTGAGTAAAATATATCTAAATACTCACAAAAATTATAGTTACAAATTAATCGGTAATGTCATTATCGTCAAGAATCAGCTGGAAAGAAAATAAATTGTCATTACTTTTCTCGGTTGATTTAGGGAGTGTGGGAATGTCTTGTGTCCCTTGTTGAGGGAGGCCTTATATAAAATTATCAAGGCAGTATTGCTAAAGAACACATAGTGACAAAATTTATACAATTTAAGATAATTAATAATATTATAGAATAATTTTATAATTTTTAGAGCATTTAAAAACTAAATTTAATGTAAAAGCTGTTCCTTTTATAGACCGTGACAGGGAGCGGTGGCCATACCCTCCACCATGTAAACACAGCAGCAAAAAATATTCCGAAGAAAATTGGTTTGTATTGGTGTAATATTGTATTGTCAGGACTCATTTGTGTTTTAATATGAATGATAAGTGTGCAGGGATTATGGTGTTGTAAGAGAGAGAGAGCCTTATGATAGTTGTGAGGACATTTTGGACAAGGTAAGAGACTGTGTGGGGGGATTTGCTGGCAGGAGTAACAGGTAGGCAGGGGTTATATGACTATTTTACCCTCAGTTATATATCATATTATTGTATATGAATTATGTGAATAATTATTATTCAATATATTTATGAATGATTTTACTGTATAAATAACTAACAAATTATAAATATAATATAATATCTTGAAGGGTTCTAAAATAAAACAAAGTTCTTCTGGCCCCAGAAAATACTAAATATTATTTTATTGATAACTTTAAACTATTGTAACAAAATCGACCAAGTAGAGATAGGAACATGTAAAATTAATGATAAGGAAGATAAAACATGATTAAATTATTAATCAATTTATTAAGAAAACCAACAGCTCAATGTTTAACAGTTATGATACAGTTTAAGTATCAGGTATAGAATAAAAAATGTTTTCCTCACCTAACCTAACCCAAACTAACCTAACCCAATCCAACCTGCATCATTATATGTCCATAAGAGAAGTGGGACATCTTGGAGTATCAGAAGATAATTAAGGGAGATAATGATTAAGCATTTAACATTAAGTTATTATGTAATGACTAGTGTAATAATGCCCACAGCCATCCTGTCCACAATCCCATTAAAATCGTAGTAAAATCACAATCAATCTCCGCAGCTAACAGTCAAATACCCTTTGGTTATTTGCCCAGCCAGCACAGTCAAATAACACCTTCATAACTTGTACTGAGCCATTATTGGGTAGTAGTGGTGGAGTCCCTTAGTACCAGAGTACTGTGTTTATATTTGATTCGTATTATCCACAGTTGTTCTGTGGATGATGTATTAATGGTAAAATTTCACTTGTTACCAACAAGCATTTGGAAGTTGAAATTATGCTTGATGGATGTAAAATGTTAGAAAGATTTGATTCTATTGTTTGCAATTTTTTGGTACAAATTTATAATTAAAAAGTTTTTATTTTAGAGTAAAATTTGACATTTCCTACGAACTTATAGGACAAGCGTGTTCAGTGTATGTAATGAATTTGTATTAATACAGTATATATGTATACTGTATGTATTAGTATAGAGTATATAATTAATTTAGGAAAACCTAACCTAACCTTCTCCAACCAATACCTAACCCATGCACTATACCAAGATCTGATTGGTTAACAAACCAGCTACTAAAATATCTCACTTATACAGTACTTAATTTGTGACAGAAATTCACGTTATTTGTATAACTATTTTGTTATACAAGTATACAATTGTAACAATGAGTCGTCCAAAGCGAGTGAGAAAGCTAATAACCCTTGAAACTAAGAAAGAAATTATAAAGAAACGTGAGAATGGAAGAAGCATTGCGAAACTTAGTGATGAATATGGGATGGCTAAATCAACTATATGTACGATTTTGAAGAATAAAGAGGAGTTAAAAACTGTGCAAGTGGCAAAGGGAATCTTTAGACTTAGCAAAGCAAAGTGTAATGTGATTGAAGAGATGGAAACTTTACTCTTAGTGTGGATAAAGGAGAAAGAAATGGCAGGTGGTAACATTAGTGAAGCTATAATTTGTGAGAAGGCCAGACAATTGTTTGAGGACCTTAAAGCCAAGACTCCCAGTGGAAGTGATAGTGATGTGCCAGTGTTTAGGGGTACCTGCATGCTGAATAACACTAAGGTAAGATAAAGTACCGTATTTTTTACATTTTCCACAGAATTTTTTCTGTGTTAGGTGGTTGTATTTGGGGGCCTAGAACGGATTAATCCTATAACGAACGAATGCTATAACGAACGAGGTTCTGGAACCAATTACGTTCGTTATAGCATACCCCACTGTAATGAGAAAATATTCCTTCCATTAATAATGTCTATATACACAGTACTGTACTTGTTATGTGACAGTGATAATTAACCGAGTACAATTTAATTTTCCTGCTTTTTCCTCCAAGTTCAATTTCTGTGTAAGGTCTGCTCAAATACAGTCAAGACCAGGTTACTTTTTCTACTATGAGTCATTGAACGCCTATATGGTGTAAGCACGTGACAGTTGAGAAGGAGTGTTCACATATTGCAGTGCTTGTACCAAATGTGAGGGCAGCTGCATAAAGCATGTGTGTGTGAGTTAGTCCATTTCAGAAAGGGTATGATATCTTGAAATTTTCAACAATGTTTTTGAGAACTGGGCAATAAAATTCTCCGATAAGTCACTTAGCAACATGACATTCACTTACCAGAAGAGACGACTCAGTGTTGACTCCTATGAGTTTAGTAAATGGGACAAGATTTTCCGGAAGTAATAAACAATTCTTGAATTCTGGCCAACGACTAGAAATGACTGTAAGTAATCTAATTTTATGCTCACCAAACCCAGCATTGAGTTCACCAAGGCAGTTATCTAAAATATTGTAGTACAGTTGATGATGTAAATCTGCTTCATTATCAAAACCATGAACATTAGAATGTTTTACAGTTGTTTTAGTCACTGCTAAGTATTGGGGCAGTTTGTGTTATGCTTTTGCTTTTCCTGATGGTATTCTGTAAGGTCGTGATGATCAAGTTTTGATGAGATATTCTCATTGTCAGTGTTGTTCCAGATGTCTTTAACACTACTGACAAGAGATTCAATAAGGTGAATTCTTGTCATGAAGTCAGTCATGTGATTGTAAAAGCTGATCTGCAGGTCCAAGTGTCGGCAGAGTTTCCTTCACACAGTGTGCAGTAAACATGAATTTTATGCATTTTATCTGTTTCAATAATCCAGTTGCCACACTGCTGCATCACACTCATTTTCCTCACATGTATCAAGTACATCTACCAACTTTTGTCGTTAGCTATAATTGCTGACACAGTGGCCAGGTGACGTGACCACTGCTTGCTTTCCAATAGTATGCACTACTGTACAACCAAATGTAGCGGATGGTTAAAATTTAATTAATTTTGCCACTTACAGTGACCAGTTTATTGTGCACCCCATACTTATCCTGTGAGCAGTAGCACAAAAGAATTACAGAATTGAGGTCACAAGGGGTTTGGATAACTAACCCCAGTGGTCAGGACTTTATGACATTGAATGTTACAGAGTATTTCAAATACATTGTTTGTTTTATTTTTGTACATCGAGGATAACTTTATTCACAACTGCCTGTGAGGCAATATGCCTGGCCACACACTTTGTTATTTGTATTTGCATGAGAAGTATTCAAGCATATTGTGTGTTTGGTTCTATAGATGGGAAATGATATAGCAACTGAGTGCAAAAAAGTGGATGCAGTCTTAATATATCGGCTATCTTGCCATTTAGAGATAAAGTGTTGTCCATTTCACACACAGTGTGTTTGGACCTGTCCGTAAAAGGTTCTGTCTTCACACAGTCAAGGACGTATTCCAGTTTGTGGTCATTTGTTTGATCACACACTTTGCATTTAGTTTTTTCACATCTGCTTGAGGGATATAGTGCCAGAGGTACTTATATCCTTATCTTACTTTAGCAGTTACATTATCTTGTAATCTAGTGATCTAGTTCCCTGCTCCATATAGAGTACATGTTTCACTTGATACTTCTCATCATGGTAAACACTGTATTGACTAATGACTGTTTTCATTTGTTCACTTGCATCAAATCATCGATAAGTTCTTTCCTATTTACAGTTTTAAGGGTTCGTTTCGACAGACCCAAATTGTATTCAACAGTGCCTTTGTTAGACGCGAGTTTGACGAGGGCATCAACTCTGTCATATTCTCTGAGGCCTGTATGCTCTATGCTGAGGGAGTGTAGGAGCCTTAGGACAGCCATACAGGATCCACATCTGTTTTGCAGTTTATACACCTCTGCTGTAGGGTTCCCCCTTGATTAACTTTATTTCTGCAAACATGGGGTCACAGCTCAAGATTGAAGAAGCTGCAAGTCCAGAAAACTGTGAGGGCAAACTTTTTCGGAGTGAGAGTTGTAAACTCTTGGAACAATCTACCAAAAAGTGTTGTGACGGCACCGAGTGTGAGCTCTTTCAAGACAAGACTTGACCAACATTGGAGCAGGTTCGGGTACATTCAGGAGCCGGTGCATGCCCAGTACTTGCCAACAGTACGTAACAGAGACGTGACCGATTGCCCAAGATAATAAAAGTACTCAGGCCACACTGGCGTCCTTCACTTGGCATGACCATCTCTAGTGAGGGGCCAATAGGTAAATAAGGTGTGGTCATCAGCCACACAGTTATCTATCGCAACACCTTACTATAAACTAAGTAAACTTTCACTTACCTGTTCGCTCAAGTCTCTCAGGTGATTTCGTCTGCCATCGCCCATCACATTAACGTAAACACAACTTCACATTTTCTACGCTGCACCTTTCCAGTGTTCGTGCATCACCCACAAATATATCCCAAGTGATATTCTTGCAGGTTGTAGTCAGTACACTGTCAAATTTCATGTGCCGTTCGTTAAAAGAGTAATAAATGTCTCACTCTAGGCCTTCATGTTGATGTCTGCTGCGTTGATGTTTTGTTTATTAATACAGGGTCATGTAACATCGACTATGTTTTCCTTTAATCTAAAATAATTATATAATAAATGAATGGAATAGTTTTTATCATAGTATGTAAGTTTCTTTTATTAATATTAGTGCAAGACTCTTAATAAACATGAAAATATCACAAGATCTCTATATTATGACACGTTACTCTGGTTCCCTGCTGTCATACGATAATATTACACAACAGATATACATTGAAGTACGATTGATTGTTCAATAAATTAAACTTTGTGATAGAAAGGAAGTTTTGGCCGACATTATAAACTACATGAAAAATACCAAGAAAATGAACACATATAGAGTGAGAAAGATTTTAATCAATAACAGCACATACAGGAACAGTATTTACATTTATTCAATTT